TTTTTTTATTTCTTTTTTCTAGGTAAGAGAAAAAAAGCAACGGGTGAAGACGTCTTTGTGTCGAATGACCAACTATTGCACAGAACAGCCAATCAAATTGCTTGTTTGAAAGACGTTGACATTGAGTTGTCAACTTGATTCTAATATTACTTATTCTCTTGTAATTTTAAATACAATCACTGTTGTCATCATCTTTTTCTCTCTCATCATCTGGTTCATATTCTTTAATTTTATTAACGTATGTGTGAATATAAACTCACTAACAGACCCTCGGGTCAAGAATATCTATAAATGTATCCATATATGAGTGTTTAGCTACATGTATATATTATACGGCACTTATTTGCATTAGAGATGTTATTAGACTTAATAAAAAAAATACGGCAATATAAAAGTCTTTTGTTGTCTGTTATTGATTCATGTTATTTATGTTATTGGCATGCTTCTGTCGACGACGGACTATGCCCTAAAAGTTGGTCTAATCTGGTTGAGCTGTGTAAACATAAAACGTGACCCTCGACCAATCCCGCGTTGCATTTCGATTCTCGATTCGTTTGGTGTACCCCGAAAGCTAGGAAAGGACCTTCTGCATGCTCACGCGATAAAAGACAAACGCCATGTTGAAAAATAAGAACGTGAACCGTTTCCCATATTATATGTATTTTTTTGTTTTGTTTTTTATTCAGGGGTTTTTCTTGCTTGTCTAGGTGAGTAGTTAGGTGACACTATGGACAACAAAAAGGACACTTTTACTTAAAATTATTACCCTCGGTTGCATTTTGATTCTTGGTCTCGTCAGCGTTCACCAAAAGCTGGGAAAGGACCTGCTGCATGCTCATCAGACAAACGCCATGTTGAGAAATAAGAACGTTAACTGTTTCGTATATATAGCTTCTTTTCTTTTCTTTTTTATTCCGAGGTTTGCCTTCTTGTGTAGGTGAGCAGCTAGATGACACTTTGGACAACAAAAAGCACACTTTTACCGAACATCATTATCCCACCTTACATTTCGATACTTGGTCTCATCAGCGTTCACCAAAAGCTGGGAAAGGGCCTGATGCATGCTCACAAGGTTAAAAGTTGAAAGACGGACGAGGAATAAGAACGAAAACCCTAGTTCCCATATTATAAAATAGATGTTTTATCCAGGGCTGCTCGTCTGGGTAGGTAGATATGTCGTACTTCTATGTTGGTCTAACAGCTCAGCTCTTCTCCCTATCTACTCCTTGCCCATCCACTCATTTCAACGTGGTGACTAGCAATATGAATGGACGGCACAGAAGCCATGTACTGGACAAGTCCATCTCCCGGAAAAGGCGAACCAGAGCAATGACCGTTAATATAGACCAGCACTCGGATATATCCTATTTCCGGTTTTGCTGTCACTTGATCTAAAAAAAAAATTCATCCACACTTACTTCCTGTTCCCCTTTTTACAATGATTTCTCTTAAAAATAACTTTAAAATAATTCAGCAGACGTTTATAGTTATGGTAACTGGATTTTTGGCGATTGCCTTACTAGGTTTCCGACGTTCAATACTGGATGTCTGAAAAATTGCCCCATAAGGTTTTATTGTATCTTATATCTCTCCTCGAACTTTTGGCTCGGGGAGGTTCAAATAATATTAAGACCAAGCCCCAGGGGCCCTTCTCTGTAAGCAGTACCTCTCCTTCAGGAGAGGGCTGGGTTTATTGTCCGGCGCCCGAAGTGTCTCCAAAAGGAGGAGTGCCGATGGGGCTTGGCCAATTTTTTCCCGATATTACCGTTAAAGCCACTATAAACGTTGTATCACATTTGGTAGCAACGTAGGCGCACTGAAAAAAATACACGCTTCTCGGTCTTTTGGCTAAGATCAAAGTGTAGTATCTGTTCTTATCCGCTTAATCTGATTCTTTCTCTTCAATTCTTTCTTTCATTTTCTAGCTAGAACCAAATAGTGTCTTTTCCCCCCTCTTCCCTCGCAATCAAAATGGAATAGTCTATTATTTATGAGGTAGAGGTGTAATGGTTATGCGAACTGATGAAAGAAGGGAAAATCACAATTATAATAAAATGTTTTATTCAGGGCTGCTCGCCTGGGTGAGTACCTAGGTTACACTTGGGACAACATCTATGTCGACCTCATTGATTAGCTCTTCCATCTACCAGCTTATTGCTCATCTACACATCCAGACGGCTAGAATTGGAACCACGTGACGTACAAATCCATCTCCCACCAAGAGCTGACCAAAAATGACTCAACAATCCCAAGCATGACTTAATATAGACCAGGACCCAGAAATAATCATTGCCCGGTTTGTTGTCGCTTGATGTTCCGAAAAAAAAATTTCATCCACTATCATAAGAGACCTGAACATCAAAGTAGGAAGACAAAAGGCAGGGGATAAAGCCGGAAAATTTGGACGAGGAACATGCAACGAATGTGGAGAAAAATGGATCTAATGCTACATGGTTAATGACCAGGTAATAGCCAACACGGGGTTCCAAGAACATTCGAGACTATTATGGACATGGAGGAGCCCAGGAGGAGAAACTAAAAACCAAACTGACTATATAACTATCAACAAAAGATTCAGGAATGCAATGATTCACTGCAAAACCTCCCCAAGTGCCTACTGCAGGAAGCGATCATCACCCCATTATATGTTAACTAAGAGTGAAACTACAGAAACTGAAGAAGCCTAATGCAGCACCCAATTTGCAATACAACAAACAACAATCTCCTGAGTGATCCGAACCTGAAAGAAAATTCTATGGACAATGTGAAATGAAGATACGAGGAACACGATGGAAATGGAAACTCGAAATGGGATGAACTAAGAGAAGCTTTAGTGACTTCAACAAATGATATCATCCCAAAGGAGAATAGATGAAGGAAAAAAAAAATGAATGGATGACTGATGAGATTCTTGACATAATGCAAAGGAGACAGAAAATTCTGCTAAGATACAGAACAGAATACAGAAAACTACACAACGAAATAAAGACCAAATGCAGGCAAGCTAAAGAAGAGTGGCTAAATGAAAAATAGAGAGATTGAGTACCACAAACAAAGGAGATATGCATAAACAAATAAGTGGACTAACAGGATAGAAGACTTGCTCGTCAACAGGATGCATAAAATCAAAGTATGGAACGCTCATATTAGAGAAGGAAAAAAATAAAATGAATATATTAGTGAAATCTTTCACGACAAAAGAGAACAACCAGTAATACACAGAACTACTGAGAGGCCTGAAATTCTAAAAACTGAAGTAGAAGCTGCACTGGCAAAATTGAACAGAAACAAGGCAACAGGGCCAGACGGAATTGTAACAGAAATGCTGACAGCCTTAGATGATTTGGGCATGGACAATATCACAAAAATAATAAATGAAATCTACAACAGCAGGGATATACCAGAAGGCCTAAGCAGATCTATTTTCATAGCACTGCCTAAGAAACAAGGTGCAAATGAATGTGAACTCCACCAAACAATCAGCCGAATGAGCCACATAAAACTCATCATCCGAATTCTGATGAGTAGAGCACTCAGCAAAATCAGGCCAGAGATAGGACAAGAACAGTGTGGATTCGTTAAAGACACCGGATCAAGGAATGTGATATTCATACTCAGAATGTTATCAGAAAGAGCAATACAAAAGCAGGACATGCACCTATGTTTTATAGACTATGCAAAGGCATTCAACAAAGTGCACCACAAATACCTATTTGAACTGCTCAGCAACCTATATTTTGGAAAGATATTAGAACTATCAAGAACCTATACTGGCAGCAAATGCCCTGCATACAGATAGAAAATGAGTTCAGATCTAAAAAAAAAAAAAAATAGAAAGGCAAGGATGTGTCTTCTCACCGGACTTATTCAACCTATACAGCGAGGCAATTCTGAGAGAACTGGAAATCCTACCAGAATTCTTCATTGGCGGCCACAATCTTAACAATAAAAGATACGCAGATGACATATTGCTGATAGCAAATACGGAAAGGAAATTACAAAATTTCCTACACTTTTCTTTTGGCCACTTTAGTCATTTTCAAGGGGTTAAGAGTTTGGTGTAATTAGTTTATATATATATATATATATATATATATATATATATATATATAAAGAACATGTAGTAAACATTGATATATATTCAATATATCAAGGAAGATTTAATATTTATTTAATATAGTTTTTCTTTTTAATTAATATAGTTTTTCCAGCAACCTTATGTTTTTCCATTTTGTTGGAGTAAGCAAGTACAGAAATTATATAATTTCTGTAATAATTTCTTCCTTGACTGCCATATTTAATGAAAGATGTTTAAGAGAAAGGTGGCTTCCCAAATATATATCAATGTTTACTACATGTTATATATATATATATATATATACACATACACACACACACACAGTGAGACCCGGATATAAGAGAAATTTTCTCTGGTCCCAAATTAGAGCCTGTGTTAATGTATATAAAATAGACCAAACCCGGATATAAGAGACTTCTTCTCCGGTCCCGACAACTCTCTTATATCTGGGTTACAATATATATATATATATTATTGGAGTAAGTGAGTACAGAAATTTTCCACTTTTCTTTTGGCCACTTTAGTCATTTTCAAGGGGGTTAAGTTTTTGGTGTAATTAGTTTATATATATATATATATATATATATATATATATATATAATTCTTTATTTAAAAAAATTTATAACATATGTTATAAAATCACTACAAAAATAGCCATTTTGTTTCAACACTCTCAGTGTCTTATCAAGTGATGATGTTGAATGTAAAATAAATGGTTGTAAAAATTTCGAATTAATTAACAATCCTTCACAAGGGGAAAACGTTGTTACAAAAGCTAGATGGACCAATCAAAATACAATATATATATATATATATATATATATATATATATATATATATATACACTTATTGATTATGAAAAAACACACAAGGAAAAAGGTTTTATTTTTTTTAAAGAATATTTTTAATAACAAAAATTTTGTTACAATTCATCTCTTTGTTTGCCATGTATAAAATTTATAAAGTTTGCCCTTACAGGTTTTTTGTTAAAGTCTTTTGAAAATTTTCCATGTTCAAAAAGTTTGAGACTGGGATAACTTTTTACTTTGTGCGATGTGCAAAGATCTGTAAAAGAAAAATGCATAATTAGTAAACAAAAATAAATTGAATATTGCTCAGTAAATACTGATGAGTGGATGCCAAAAGATTCTCAGCTTAAAGAAAGAACTTAAGAAAAATGAAAAATCTGATGTTTGGTCAGTTTTTGGGATATGCATCAGACCAAAAGATATTCAGCACCTTTTCATTTCTAAATATGAACATTTAAAGATCTTCTAATTAACTTAACATTTTGAAAATTAAAAAAAAAAACAAAAAAAACGGAGTATCAAAAGCATGATTTTTCCCTTAATACTGCTATTATTACCTTCACTCCACGGCAATATTTACCGTTAAAAAAAAAACAAAAAAAAAAAAAACATTAGAATTAATAAAACCTAAACATATGAAAGTGAATTCATAGATTTTCTTTATTCTTGAGAATTGATATCAAAAATAAAAAAATTAATTACATAGTTTATTTATAACAATAATTTTACATTCACAACATTCTAAGAATACAATTAGAATGAATGCAATGCAATATTTATCATTTACCAATTTATAAAGAAATAAAAGTGATTGATTCATTTTGATTTGTATTACGGCATATCAACACCTCAATGGGTCATTTAATGCTGACAAAAATTTCATTGCTGGTAATATTTTTCTTCAAAAATGTATTGCTGGTATTTAAACCTATTTTTACACTTTCATAGTGTTTTGATCACAGTTTGGGGGTTAACTATTTACCCATAGCTGGGACCCTAGCAGGTGCTGGGACCCTAGCAGGTGCTACCACCCCGGGTCAGGGTGGACCTGGGAACACCAGCAATTAAGAGGTGGTTCCACATTCTCAAAACCTCCTGATCAGAGGCCTTGCTATTGGACGTAGTTTACCATTTTACCAAGGATGCAGATGTAGTTTATCGTCTTACCCAGGATGCAAATAAAAGTGAAAACAATTTTTTTTATTCGTAATTATTAAATTATTAAAATATGCAAACCAACTATAACGAAATCCTTATTATTAACCATTTTATAAAGTTTGGTTTGGACCTATTGGCAATTAGCCAATGTTTTGCCAATTATTCCATTAATAAATAGTGTTTAATATCTTTGCTGTCAATTCTCAAGAAAATGTATAAAATCACTTTCATATACTTATGTTTTAAAATTCTAAACATCATTTTTTAAAACAAACATTGCCAAGGAGTGAAGGTAGTTAAAACAATAATAGTGTCAAGAAAAACCATTTTTTGACACATTTTTTTTGCATGCATGAAGATCCAAGACTGCCAAAAATTTCATACCATTCTTAACTGTCGTAATTAACATCACAAGTAATCTTAAAAATTGCATAAGATAGGAAAACAAAAACAACCAGTAATATAATTTATTTACAAGACTGAGATGCTTTATATATATATATATATATATATATATATATATATATATATATATATATATATATATATATTATAAAAAATACTAAATTTTTTAAAAGAAAGCTTCAAAAAAGTATTTTGGCTTACAAATTAATCATTTTCAAATAATTGGCTTTGTAAAAAAAAAAAAAAAAAAAAAAGTGTCCATTTTTAATGCAATCATTAAATTTTGTAGACCTTTTAAAATATTTAGAGAGAAAAAAGTTTTTCTTTTCTCAGTTCTTTTTCAACTAAAAATTGTTAACCTTTTCTTTTTTTTATCCTTCAAATCAATTGAGAAAGCATTTTGGCTTACAAATTAATCATTTTCAAATAATTGGCTTTGTAAAAACTCTTTCACAGCACGTCTTTGTAAATTTGAATCTTGTTCAAGTCAAGTTTTTATAATACAAAATAAAAAAGAAAAATGTCCACTTACCGTGATAAGAAGCACAATTGAGCGCTGCAAATACCAAAGTGTTGTCATTTTTCATGGCATTTGCTGCAAACATGAATTCTGATTTCATTTCTTCACAGCCAACACAATTCTCTGTATAAAAGGCAGTAAATACGTTGGCATGTGTCTGGAGAAGCTCCACAAACTGATCTGAATTTGGATGAATGACACGACTAAGGCCTGAAGCCCAGTTTATTTGAGCAACTGATTCTGGAGGGCTAGAAAATAAATTTGAAAAAAGAAAAAAATTTTTTAAACATTGACTGGAAATATTCATACTTTTTAAAAACATTTTTTTAAGTATTTCACCCAAGCAAGGTGGCAGTGTCACTGGTACTGGTTTGCAGGAAGTTACATAGAGTGAAGGTGAGAGAAAAACTTTAGGGGGGGAATGAAGAAAGGATAAAAGATGAACAAGGTTCAAGACATCAGAAGATGGTGATTGATGTTGCATTTAAATTTTTGAAGATTATAATTATCAGGGAAGTAAGTAAACAGAAGGGAATTCTACAAGCAAGAAGGGCAAAAAAATAAGCTGTTGGAGTAGAAGTGGCAGTTGTATTTAACTATTTCAACAGTAAAAGGGTGGGATCTAGATGCCACTCTAGTAGCATGCTTAAATTTATGCAGTCAGAGCACCAGAGAATAAAACTCAACAGAATGGTCTAAACTATCAGCCAATATACAATAACTGTTTTCTCATATCAATGATTAAAAAAATCCTTGTAGGTCTTGATGATGACTATCTTTTGGCAGACCCAGTGCTACACAATCACAAACAAATTCTAATAATGTGATACTATGGAAACCCACATTAAAAAGGAAGATTTAATTTCATCTCAATTTTGAGTGTCTCTGTTTTATGGCCAGCAGGTAGTTCTTTTTTTAAGCAGCATCCACTTTGACCGAAAGGGAAACAAAAGTAAAGTAAATGAGCGGTTTTTGGAGACCAAGCGACAACTAATTGGACATAGATTATTTCCGATGCTGCTCTATATTGTTATGCTTGAGAATGGAGTCAGCTCTGGCATGCCCTCAGAGAGAGATCAACTATGGTATGATTCTGTTGCCACCTGTTTATACTACCAGATCTGCTGATGGGGTATGAGCTGATCTATGAGATCCACATAGCAGAAATTATCCCAAGTGTCACCCACCCAGGGGAAGCCATGAGTAAAAAAAAACAAAAAAAAACCAAGCTACATACAATATAGGAAATGGTTCATTTTTTGACATGGCGTTTGTCTTTCATTTTGTTACACTGTGAGCATGCAGTAGGCCCTTTCCCAGCTTTTGGTACACACTGATGACATCAAGAATTGAAATGCAATGTAGGGTAATCATTGGTCAGTCAGTGGAAAGTTTGGTCCAGGTTTGCATTGTATGTTTACAATATTGGTAATATTAGCCATTTTCTTATAAGGAAACATTTTCAACCCATTGACTAAGCAGCTAATGCTACTGTTGGTTTAAATTTATAAAGTCTTTCTATTAAAACAAGTTTTCAGGGAAATAGATTTCCAGTATGGAAGGGGAGGGGGGGGGCTTCCTTCCTACCCTTTTGTTTACCAAATAATAAAAACTGCATCACTTGAAGACTTCCAAAAATAAATACATGTAACTAGATGAGAAAATAAGCACATAATCAAGATGTTAAAGTTCCACACAACTTCAAACAAAAGGTTAGGAAGGAAACCCCCATCAATACTAGTAAGAGCAATAACAGGGTATGACTTGAGAAACCTATTTTCTTGAAAAATTGTTTTAAGAGAAATATTTTATAAATTTCAACCTTAACCCTACTCAATCAATGAAAGCCAAATGTTTCCTCATAAGGAAACAGCTAAAATTACCATGAAAAAAAACACGGATTGGAACTTCATTCTGTGATTCTGCTTATTGACAGAACTTCCCAACTTCCACTTAGGTGGCACTTCATCCTGAAATTTTTTAATTTTCTCTATTTCCTTTTGGTTAGCTGGTGACCAATTTGAAGGTTTTATTTTTAGATTTTACTTTTGGTCATAAAGACACCAGACACTTCAGACTCAAATAAAATCCACTTCTATATTGGTGTCCTAATCACAGCCAAGTTCTATGGTGCCTGTTTTATTCATATGCAAATCTCTACCATATACTAATACTAACCATGAATAGGAAACTACAAGAGAAATAGTAGTGAACAATTATAGTTTACAACAATGTCAATTAAGCAACACTAATGGTTAGTCACAGTGAATGTGCAATTATCTTTAACTAAAATGCAATCAACCTTGAAATAAATACACTAAACAAATGCTAAAAGATTATTTGCAAAAAGCCCGACAAAGTATTTTAACCTTTAGCACACTAAATTCTTTCTAGAATTGTTCCCCCCTGCCACTGCATCTTTTTCCAGGGTGCAAAAAACATGAACATCTACTGTTTTAAAATTGTTATAACTTTGTATTGTGCATATAGATTTTAATTTTTGTATACGAATAAAAGAAGGAATGAGTAATATTTTGATGTAATGCATTACAATGCATTTTGTTTTGCATGCAGGTTTTGATGTTGAAGAAGAAAAAAAAATTGAAACACAAAATAAATACATTAACAATTTAATATACAGTGTAACCCGGATATAAGAGAGTTGTCGGGACCGGAGAAGAAGTCTCTTATATCCGGGTTTCTCTTATATCCGAGTTTGGTCTATTTTGTTTAGATAAGTATGGGCTCTAATTTGGGACCAGAGAAAATCTCTCTTATATCCGGGTTTCTCTTATATCCGGGTTACACTGTACTACATAAATAATTCAACGTACTTGAACTTTTATTACTCCTATTACTCTGGGGTGCAATAAGAAGCAAAATGCCTAAGGCGGCTTTCATTTAATCAAAAAAGTGACATGCTTCCTCGTGTTTACATACGAGAAGACACCAGCATTTGTTTGGTCTTTCTTTCACCTGACTAGCATATTTATTTGTTTCGTTAACAAATAAAGTTATTTTGTCATTTATAAATAGACAAAATAATTCACTTTCAGAAAGGCTATCAGGTACATTGATGGTCACCAGTAGCTTCCATAAAATTAGTCAGCCATGAATGATAGTAACTGCTAGTGGTCATCAATGTTTTCCTCTATGTCACTAGTGTGGATCTTCAACCACTTCACCATCAAAGCCTTCAAAATCATTATTGAAGTCTGAATCAAGGAAAAACTCAAACGCTTCGTTGGATGTGGCCATTTCTGTTTACAAAAAAATAATGAAAAACTAATGTGGGTTTAATCGATGTTACACCTCGTGTAGAGTCTAGAAAAATTCAAAATGGCATTGGAAGACAGAAGTTTAACCTCATTCCAAAGCAGTAGTAGACGATTTCCAGCTTAAAATACCAGAAATAACAGTTGGCAAGTATTTATTTATAGCAACCATCTCAAGGCGACAGAATACACCTAAAGCTGAAAAGGGAGAGAATTCTATGGCAAAAATTTTTTTGCCTCCATCGTGTTAAAGGTTAAGGATCTTGGTAGCAGATTTGTTGAGCTTCACTTATTTCATGCAAATACATTACTCATATATATCACTGTAAAGATCACAGAGCTGTTCCAAGACAATGTTACCAAACTTTGTGTAATAAATGAATAAATATGAAATTTACTAGCAGACTGACTCAGTAGGATAGGGTAGAGTCCAAGAAATGTTCTAATAGCTTCTACGACAAAAAATGCTAATATTGTAGCTGGCTTAGAGTGTACAACCACTAAACACAAACACAATTTCACAAGAGAGTCACTTACTCTTTCATAAAAACAACCATTTCATGGGCATTTTTAGCAACACAGTCGATCATGGGTGAGCCATTCCTGTGAGATGAAAAAAAAAAAAAAAGCAGACGTTTATTATAAATTAAAAATTTCAAACATATTTTATTAAAAATTTATTTTATTAATAATAAAATTATATTTTGATGTTTTTAAATTGTTTTAGAAGATCCTTTATACCTCCGACCAGCATGGCTAATGCTAACCTCCAGAATATGAGAAAATCTTGTTAGAAAAATATGTGCCCTCCAGCAGGATTCGAACCTGCATCCACTAGGGGAAACCATCATTAGATATGTGCCTTACATTGCTCAGTCATGTAGGACCTCGAAAGGCCTGAAAAGAACTTTTCAAACACATATCTTCCCTGTTGTGTATTCTAAGGTAAACAAAGACTTTTTGTTTTTTCTAGGAAATGAATTAAGGTTATTGTGATCTTTCCTTCCTCCCCTTCAATGAGTATGCCACAAGACAATTGGTCAAGTGTTATTATTGGCTAGCCAATCAGAGTACTGCACATCTTATATATATATATATATATATATATATATTCTCTGTCCTGGACATTGAGGTCTACCTGGATTCTATCCTTTTGGGAATTTTTATATATTATATACATTCAAAAAAAAACAAACATTCTAATTTTATACAGATTCCAGAAATTCAGTAGATGTTTTTTATAATATTTAAAGTTTTGCATCTCCAACAACATTTGTTTTTAAAAGACTGAGAAATATATTAAAAAAAAAAAAAAAATTAATTAATATGATTTTACATATCAATAAATGGCACCCAACTAAAAAACCAACTTTGCTTTATTTGAAAAAATAATATCCATCTCAAAAGAGGAGCTGAGCTCTAGGCTAACTTTTTTCAGCATTTTCCTGGAACCGTACTGATAACAAATAGTAACCATATCTGATGAATTTCAAACTGTCCCACAATTTCTTAACTTTGTTGATTTGTAGTTGTTCGTCATACAGGGTTATTCAAAAAGAGCAAAAATTTAATTGAAACAAATGCGGTGACAGAAACACATTCAAAACATTTCTGTTCAATCAACTTCAATAAGGAAATGTTCTTAATTTCCATGTGCAGAGTAATTCACAAGTTCCATTCACAAGTTTAAAAATAAATGCTAAGCTTTGTTTACCTTCTTGTTGGTGTGCACTGTTTATTAAAAGCCTCCCACTATTTGGGAAAAAAAAAAAAATATAGTTGCTTTTACAATATAATAAAATTTTTAAACATTTTCTATCATCCAGGTATTAAAAATAAATAAATAAAAAAAAATCCTAATCAGTTGTTACAAACTAATGATAATTTCAAGTCCTGAAATTTAATAAATTAGAAATGTTAGGCAGCACCAGGTGATCTTGCTAAGTTTTCAAGAGATTATCTATATACTCCATAAGCTTAATAGTTCAGATTACAAAATCCTATTTTGATGAAGAATATAAAACTGTACTTACCTGAAATATTTTACTGCAAGAAAAGAAAAAAAAAACATAGATAAATATGACAGTGAGGATCGATTCTCAATTAAAATTTAGTTTTATTTTAAAAAATTCACTTTTCATCTGACAAGAATATATAATGAAATGATGGTAATGAATATTTATTACCATTTATAAGACACATTGCTTTTGAAGAACATGAAAAGAAATAAAATAAATCTCAGGTGGCCATCATAAAAGCTCGTTTTGAGAAAAAAAAAAAAAGAAAGAAAAAAGCTATGTATGAAACAGAAAAAAATGGTTAACAAAACAAAAAAAATTTTTTTTTGTTTGTGCATTAAAAGGCTCTTTTAAAAAGTACAGGTCAGTGCCATTAATCTGCACACCAATAAACCACGATGACGCTTAAACAGTGCATGCACAATTGACCCCAAAATTTTTTTGTCATGTTCATATTAGAATCACAATCATCAGTGGATCCCAATTTGAAAAATTCAAACTTGATTAGGACACTTTTGAAAGTCTGATTTTTTCTGTATGGCATTTTATTTTAATAAATTCATTAAATTGAGTTCAATACATATATCCATATTTTCCCAGGCATTTACTATTGTTTAGGCTTTGGCATTTCACACTCACAATTGTGCAGTGGTTTGGATTAGTACTTTGTGGACATTTTGAATGTGAAATATGCAGCTTACAACCTTTATCCTAACTTTAAAATTTCACATATTAAAGCAAATCTTGTTGAGTAAATATCGATAATGTGCTTTTCCGAATCATACTTATTATAAAACCCAGGCTGTATGTGTGTGTGTCTGTTCGTTTATATATTGGATCGAATTTCCTACATTTTTCAACCGATTTCAACAAAACTTCACAGGACTACGTAAAATTACCTTGCGGTGGTTCTGACAGCACCAAAAATTGGAAAAACACAATTATTTTTGCACAAAATCAATTTGAAAGCATGATTAAGAGGCATCACGAGAATGAAAGGGGGACAACTCATATCGAGTTATACTTATTATAAAACCCAGGTTGTGTGTGTGTGTTTATATATGGGATCGGATTTCCTACATTTTTCAACCGATTTCAACAAAATTCACTTTTTTTTTTGACACTTAGTGTTTCTTATTGTCTTGCACACTTTTTTCTTTATTTTTACATTCAGAATGCTTTAAAAATTCCATTTACAAGACAATTGTTTATAATAAAATTCTATTCAATCAGTAGACTCATAACGATTGAAAACAACGTTTTTGTTTGAGTAATTCGTAAAAAAAAAAAAAAAAAAAAAACTAATTTAATTAGTTTTTTTTGTTTTTTTTTTTACGTGTCCGTCAACTTTAAACAATAATTTTTGTCAATTTTATTTTTCAGTCTTTATAATGGTCGATACTTGATGTATCTCTTACTGTTGCAATGCCGGGCTCTACTGCTAGTAATTTATAAAATCTGCAAAGAACCATTTTAAATCCTGCTTTAAGGATTATTAATGGAGGCCACGATTGCAGCCAAATAACACCTTTCAGCACTTTCAAAAGTTTCAAGAAGTCCATAAATCTTCTCACATTAAATTTTTATATAAATACAGGCAAAAATTTTAGTTTTGCAATGTCTCTATAGATATCAAATGATCACAACATTTTTATACCTAGATATTTTATGAGAGTGTCAGTGATTCAATAAAGGTTTTACAACTACAGACTATGCTCAGAGATACTAAGAAAAGAGAAAACAAGAAACTCTCCATTACTAACTTTCTTAAATAAAGTGTTATTGTGAACTTTATTTTTATTTTTCATTATGTACATGTAAATTGACTAAAAATTTTTCATATTAATTTTATAAAATTTGTATTGTATCATTGCATTGCATAGAAACCTGTGCCTTGTACATAGATGTTACTACATTGTATTATTATATTATTTTTATTAATACATTACAATAAAACTATAAAAAATTAATTTGATTTTTTTCTTGTTAAAATCTCATGCGCATGAGATTTCCGCCATTTTTTGCTATCATGGATCTATTGACATGGCACTTTATGATTGGAATCATTTTAGGCTGTCATCTTTCAAATTTATTCACACTGGTGCAGATTTTTATGTAAAATTGAAGGATAGTTTTAATAAATGTTTTTCAAAACTGACAATATTCAACTCTTAGTATTGAATAGGTATTTTGTATGTTTAGCCACAACTCCATGGATTTGATAACCTTTGTTTTGGTGGCCCAAGCTGGGAATCCTAACATCGCGGCTCACTTTTGATCTAAATTGCGGATAGAAGTTTCGAACCCCAACTACCGCGGTTTATCAGTGCTGACCTGTATTTAAAATTGAGTACTCTGCGATCAAAGTGTAGTATCTGCTCTTGGGCAGATAAATTACATTTTATCTCTGTTTCTCTGTCAGAAGACATAGTGCAACTGAAAAAAATGATTGAGAAGTGCCCGACCTAAGGGAACAGATACCCGCAGCAGTACCTCCCTCATTGCACTAAAGAAGTGTGATCGGTAGTAATACCAGTGTCAGTGCTTGGCATTACTACCAATCCCCCTCACATTAAACTAACCTCGTGTCCAATGGCAATATTAGTGGTTTCCTAATAAGGAAACATTCAGCATTCATTGACTGAGCAGCCAGTGCTACTTGGGTTACACTTTTCTTCACTCCCTTGCCACTAGGATCATATCAAAGTGTAGTACCTCTAATAGTAATATTAGCCGTTTCCTTATAAGGAAAACTTCAGCATCACTGACCGAGCCAGTATTACTTTTGGTTGAAATTGATAAAATTTTTCTGTTAAAACAATTTTTCAAGAAAATAAGTGCCATATGTTAAATAATCTAATAGACTTGAAATAAAATTCAAGTTTCTGTAACTGTAGAGTCAGTCAGTTAAGTGCGACACTCTTGGGTGATCATGTATCTTTTGATACATAACAGATAAGACAGAAGATTTTTTTCCCCCGCAATAGACGGCCATGTTTTTCTAATTGGTGACACCATTTTAGTTTTGTTTATATGTTCTGAAGTAAAGACTAAGGTAAATGGTATGCCAGAGACACAATATAATAAAAGTACATCACAAAATATGTATTGGATACGTAAAACCCAGTTAAAAAAAAAATGTAGAAAAATACAATATATTTAATATTAAAAATCTCATTTTTATGCAAAATATAGGCTCCAATTTGAATTTCCACATTTGCATTTATTAACCAATCAGCAACATTATTTCAAACACACTGAAACCCTTGAAAAATCAAACCACCGTGTTTGTTGTCTGCTATGAAATTTGAGAGCTCACTCTAGAAAAAGATCAAAAAATGTTTTCCCTCCTAAAAATAGATATTTCAAAATTGGGAAAAATATTTGATACCAGTTGACATAGATCATAGTAAAATAGTGAAATTTGTCTTAAGCATCTAAGGATCAACAATTGAACAGGTTTTATTATTCTCATCAGGGTTAGAGCAAGCCGGCTCAATCATATTACAACTTATGTGTGCTCTGGGCTTCCTCAGCTATTTGTCAAGTTTCAGCATATTTTCCTTAGCTTTCATTAAACACCAAGAAGTAGAAGTATCCCCCAGAAAAAAAAAAAAAAAAAAAAAAAAAGAACACTAAAGATTATACTTACTTGTTGCAAAGGAGACAATATCAAACCGTGAAGCTAATGCAACATCAGCCACACCATCCACAACAGCTAACACACCCGGTATCTAAAATAATATAAAAAATATTAAACCTTGACACCTTCATATGATGCAATAGATGTAAATGAAATCTTCATGCTGCTACTTCTTTTATGTAACTCGTCATATCCATGGCTCTCCACAACTTCCCAGTTTTTGTAGCTATTTTGTCTCAGTATCTGAGATGAGGTATTATGTACACTATTTACATTATTCAGACCATTGTCTTCATCGCCATATTTATTACATTTCAGCCGTTGTATGCTCTGGCCTTCTTCAGGTGGTTGTAATGTCGAACTGAGCCCTTTATTTCAATCACTGGGGTAGACTGTTCTAGTTCCACGTGCCATGTTTTAATGGATGTCAATTATCAGTTATCTCCTGTTAATTCCCCTCTCAAAGTTCTCCACAGCCTTAATCAAGTATTGAACCCACACTCTTTGGGTCCTGTCACTGGATCTAACACCTTTATCCACTGTGCCTGGGTCCTTGACATTCCAACCACCTGAAGAAGACAGCAGCTGAAATGTTGTAATAAATATGGTGACAAAGATGAGGACGATAGTCCGAATAACGTAAATAGTGAATTTTTGTCTCCTGTGTCCCACCCAACCCCTGTTTTGCCATCTATTTACATAAACCCTTTAGGTAATTTAATGTTCCCAGCTGTTCCTCTTGCTTTCAATATGCCCTGTGAGTGTCAAATTCTCCAAGCCATGTTTTTTTATGTGTCCCAAACTTTCAACAGTCTCTAATTTTGAAGATATGTCCTTTTTGTTTTAAGACATCATCATTACTTATATGCTCCATCCATAATATTCTCAGCATCCTTTAGTAGAACCACATCTCTGCTACCTCAAGTCTTCTTTTGATCTGGGAGAAAACTGTCCAACTGCCATATATGGAAAATTAACATTACATATCATTTTTTCTCTAAATACTTTTATGGTAATTGTTTTGATGAGCTTTCCTCTATGGTACCTACACTTTATGAATTTAAGCACAGTACTAGATTGGCAGTTAGGTCTCATCCTCTTACAGTGGAAATGGCTAGATGTAACTAAATTCTATGCTAAAATTAATTTCTCTCATGCTTCTAGCTTGTGGAACTTTCTTCTGGCTTATTAATTTCCAGTCAACTTGTTCTTCAAAAATTTAAATGCAATATTAACCATTATCTTCTGACGTCTTAATTCCTGTTCTTTATTGTTCCGACTTAATAACATTTTTCTTTTTCTCGTATTTTTTGCACTCAATAACCCCATGCACCTTAGTGGCTTTATTGCCTTCCTTGGGGGTTTGGTTTGGTTAATTTTGTTTAACGGCATATCAACCTCTATGGGTTATTTAATGCTGGTCTAAATATTTTGAACACAAGTTTATGACTTAAATTAAATGTATTTTGAATGCACTTGTGTAACTTCAAATAGATAAGATGTATTGTTGGTAATTTTTTTTTTATATAAGAATGTATTGCTTGTATTTTTATTCTTTCATAGGGTTTTATTTTTGTTTAGGGGGTTCACTATTTACCCATAGCTGGGACCCTAAAAAGGTGCTACCAGCCCAGGTTAAGAGGTGGTTCCAGGGTCCACAAAACCCCCAATCTCCTGATCAAAGGCCTTGTTGTCAGAGCCTTGCTTAGGGTGAAAATAAATGAATTTCAGTGTGTCACACTTTTTCAACTTTACTCCTAGAGGCTATAGCCCAACATGATACCATTTTGGAATCAGGTCGATATGCAAGCAAATTAAAATCATTCTGAGTCAGATCGGGACCTGCAATCCTGAAATTTTGCATTCAGACTTTTGCATCACTACGACTGTTTTCGGTAATTTTTTTTAAATGATTTTTTGCAACAAATTTTTTGGGGACGATAATTTTTATAACTCGGAAATAAATTTGGGAATAATCAAAATTAATTGTGAAATCCAGCGAAAGTCACCTACGAAATAAAAATAATTATTTGTACGGAAAATAAGGACATCAAATTGTCTTTAAATTAAGTGGCAGCAGAAGAATTATCCTTGATCTTTTAAAAGGTAAGCTTAAATATTAATGCAATAGTTAAATGCAGCAATAAATTTTGAGTTCTTTTGCAGTCTATTGTGGCCTATTGCATCTACTCCTCCCCACTCGCTATTGTGATAAAGGCCCAATCAAATCATGAGCCCTCTGCAGGATCTAGCTTAAATGCTGCCTGATACCATGTGGCTTTTAAGCTGTGTGTGTGTGTATATATATATATATATATATATATATATATATGATAAATAGTGGTTGCTCCTGAAGTTGAAGATTAAGAGGAACAGACCTTTAAAAATGGAAAATAAAATTAAAATAAAAAATATCACACTTTACCCTTTCTTCTTTCAGTCTTGATGCAGCAATGGAGAATTCCTTTGCTAGATTTTTGTCCAAGTTATTTGCTAGGAATAGAACAGGAGGTGTCAACATATTAGTAAAACAAAAAAATTTATTTTCTTTCTAGAAAAAGAAAAAAAACATCGGTTGGGTTGAGAACTTTTCAGCAACCATTCGTATATAAATATGAAACTTTTGTACCAACATAATTCACAATATTTTAGAAATAGAATAAAAAAAGAAATTGACAATATTTTTAAATAGACAATTTTAAATTATTTTTCTCCATTTTTTACAAATGGAGAAAAAAATATTCTTCTTTTCCATTAACTTCATGAAGCTGTGGTACCAGCTGACATAGATCATCCTAAAATAGTGAAATTTGCCTTAAGCATCTAGGGGTTGACAATTGGACAGGTTTTCAGGTTTAATTATTCTTCTTAAGGTTAGTCAGCTCATGTCTCAGAGGCCAACAGGTCAAAAAAAAAAAAAAAAACTCAAATTTTTGTTTTTCAAACTACCATCTTCATTTTTGTTATCACATTTCAACCAGAGTGCACTCTGGGCTTCCTCAGGTATCTGCCAATCGAGATAAAATTCAAGGAATTTTAAACTGAACCCTTTATTTAATCTATAGGGATATATTGTTCTCATTTTACTGTCAATATGTAGGTATATTAAGGTAGATTAAATAAAGTGTCTGGTTTGAAATTTTGAATGTTACATAGATTAACAGACACCTGATGAAGTCTGGAGGCCACAATGGTTGAAACATTGTGAGGATAACAAATGAGGAGGACATTAGTTAGAATGTAAATAATGACAACTCCTCATTCTAGAAAATCAGATGGAAATTTTTACCCATTTACCAATTTAGTATTACACGTTTTGTATTGCCCATGAACTTCTGTCATCTCCATGAAACATAAAAGTAACGTTAATACGCAAGATTTAGACAAAGAGAGAATTCCACTAACCATTATAAAACATCACCAGGGCTGATCTATACTCTTGGATAAAAGAATCAAATACAGATGATGATAAATAATGGATGTCTTTATTAACGTAACCCAGTAACTTTTCAAAGAGTGCTTCCTGGGGTGATGAAGATGTTTTAGGAATTCCTGCTAAAGATGACATAAACTTTGTGAAATCATCAGCCTGCAAAGACAAAATCAATAGAAATTTGCTTTCAGAAAACATAAATGATACTAATATATAAATAAATTTGAATATTTATTAAATCTATATAATAAATACAAATGTCGATGTATCACTTTTCCAACTTTACTCCAAGAGGTCGTAGCCTAACATATACTATTTTGGAATCAGGCAGACTCAATGAGAAAATTAAAGACATTACAGGTTGGAATCGGACCCACAATCCTGAAATTCGGGATTCTCAAGTTCTCATTACTGTGTTTTTTTCTGGCAATTTTTTTTTTAATTGACTCTTTGCAACAAATTTTTTTGTCTGATAATTTTTATAACTTGAAAAATTAATTACGAAATCCAGTGAAAGTCACCCATGAAATAAAAATAATTATTTGTGCGGACAGTAAGGACCTACATACATCAAATTGTCCTTAAATTACGTGGTGACAGAAGAATTATCATTGAAATTTTAAAAGGTAAACTTAAATATTAATGCAATACTTAAATGCAATGATCAATTTCAAGTTCTTCTGTAATTTATTGTTGCCTGTCATATATGGCAGCAGTATGCGTCGCAAAAAGAAATCTCTGCCAACAGAAGACCAGATTGTAATCCAAAAAGCCAAGGCTGCAGCAAGGAAAAGAAAGTCCCATGCAAATGAAAACCCAGATCAAACAGCAGCCAGGAGAGCTTCTGATGTTGAGAATATGCAAAGACTTAGGGACTCTCAAACTCCTGAACAAGCTGAAGGCCCAATAAAGAGACCTCCGCAGGAGCTAGCTTAAATGCTGCCTGATACTTAATATATAATAAAACTATAGAATTAATTTGGAAAATATGTGTGTATAACCACTCATCAGAACCGAGTTTAACTCTGTACCGACGAATGGTTAGCACATATAGCAATGAAACTCTGAAGTAAACGTGAATTAAGTGTAAAAAAGTGTAAAAAACTTTGCCATATTAATTGTATTGACACTATCTTCAATACTGAACACTTTACCATAGAGCCTGCTTGTCTTAAATGCTAACTTATCAGCAAACCACTGAAATACCAGCAATTTTGGTTTCAAAAACAGTATTTCAAGTATGAATATATTTTCTGTTTATATGCTATTTTTATAGATACAAATATTTAAGTAAATGCTCTGTTTATAATAAACTGTATTAACTACATTTACTGGCCTAAATGTAAGAAATTTCATAGAAAATATGTGTCCTCTAACGGGAATCGAACCTGTATCCTACACGGAACTGTCATATAGCCTAACATTTAGCTAGATGGACCATCTGGTTAGCAAAGTCAAATCATTGTTTTTCAACAACAAATTTAATTTAATTAATTAGTTAATACTGTTTATTATAAACAGATCATTTACTTTAATATTTGTATCTATAAAAATAATGTATATAAACAGAAAATATATTAAAATAATTGTTGGACTTGGTCCATTTCATAATATATGATGTCATTTGTTTATGTAAGGATACGCTTTGAAAGAAGTCATGGGAAATTTATTGTCACAACAGCAAGAGGGATCATCATTTCAAATTAGAGCTAAATACATACTTATTGTTCAAAGTAGAGTACAATAGTGTTATAAAAACCTCGGAGAATTCCAGTAAGATATCTTTAATCATTTCTAAGATACAATGGTTCAAAGCTTAATCTAACAATTGGACAATTTTGCTTGTTGTCTGTGTGTGTGTGTGTATATATATATATATATATATATATATATATATATATATATATATATATATATATTTATATATTTTCTTTCAAATATATTATCATTGGAAAAAAAAAAAAAAGGAACTTTATGTCAAATAGATACCCCAGCCCCCACCTTGACTCGACCGACTTGATGGCTACAATACATTAGATACATGATTTTTCTAAAAAATCTTAACACCCCTAAAATAAAAAAGATTGAATTTTCCTTAACCCCAACAGCTCAAAATATCAAATTTGTCTGGACTTATAAATTAAGTAAATCAATTTATAAAAAGTTATTTTTAGCATCGTATGGAATGGAACTTTGTATTTTAAATTTAATTTTTGAGTGAATTTAAAGGAATAAAAATAACACATGGGAAACAAATGATAGAAGACTAGTTAAGCAGATCGGGACCTGAGGGAAGAAGCGTTTGTAGCATATCAACTTCCATCAGTTATTTAATGTCGAAATTTAAATATTTCATAGAAAAATTTTTTTTTTTTTGAGATAATAATGGTTTCAGTTATCTGGGAGTAGAAGAGGCAGATTCCTACCTTTCCCCAAGGGTATTTGCATCTAAGTGAATGTCAAACTCAACTGAAATTCGAACTTGGCAACCAAATTAACAATTCCGAGCCATATCCATTACGCCATCCACATATTCAAGCTTACAGCAAGTGGTATTCCCAAGCAGTTACCCATCTAGATACTGACCAGTCTTGATGTTACTTTGGTGATTGTATGGGAACCCTTATTTCAATGTGATGTAGCCTTAAGCCAAAGAAGATTTGGTTTAAAAATATTAACCAGAACCTATAAAATGCTTAGGAGAATGACTTGGTAGTAATTGAACCTAAAAATACACCTAGTAAGATTTAGTACAATTGAATTTTCCCTGCTCCATCCCTGAGGAAGTGTTTACCAAAATTCTGCAAAATCCAGACAGAATGCTATTTTAGCATCCTATCTAGCAGACTTATATTGGAATCTTACCAAAATGCCTGTTTCTGAGTCATTTAGAAGCATGTCAAGTGCAATGCTAATAGGAAGTTCTTTGTTTAGGGATAATATCCATCAATATCATCCGCCAGGTGCAAGTGTAAATAAATCAAATCAGGTAGTTAGTCGGCTGGGAATGTGTACAGAGTTGGCTAGAAGACCACAAAGCTAGTTTGTCCATAGTAAGTCCGCCCAGCCACACAGGGATTTCTGAGTAATTTGGCCCAAAGACACATGATTTGTCACTTCTCTTCTCAGGCTGAAAGAAATATCAACTCAAGAGTGATTGTAAACTTTTTTGACAATCTATGGCTATTCAATTGTTGGTGATTGTCACACCGCATTTTTCTCCTTTGCTTATAACCTGTTTTTCGAGTAAACTCCCAGAAAACAGAAAACCATGGCTTGCCAATTTATACAAACACGATGCTTCAAGAGGCATCCCTTGACAAGTATACAACAAATCAACACTAAATGACTATCTGGGGCCCAGCCATACTTGGAAACCTCAAATGAATGAAAGGCCTCCCCTGCCTGCAACATCTACTCTTCACTTTGTATTTGGTGCAAACGACAAGAGTTGAAAATTGCTACCCACGGCTAGCAAGGTGTATATTGGTATTTACTCGATTCCCACAAAATCAAGATGTGACACAAGGTCGATTAACGTGGGAGACCCGAGTGTTTCCACTCATAGGCCACTGGTCAAAATTGGTCATAGCTTGTCCAAGCTGGTCAGAGCCTAGTCAAAGCTGGTCATAACTTCTAACAGGTCCAGGCCGGAACCAGTCCAAGCTAGTCAAAGCCTTGATTGAATCTCAGCCTTCGGCCAAGAAATGATCCATTATTTGTCAAAAACCCCCAGCCAAAAGGCCGGGAGGAATAGCAAGGTGTATATTGAGTGCCCCCAACTGAGTGGATGGGCATATTTATTAATGTGACTTGGTGGATGCATATATTTAACACTTTGACCTCCAGTTTTTATCAACCCAAGTAGCCTTCAGGGAATTTCAAATTAAATGCTTTATTTAATCTATGGGGGAGATTGCTCTCATATTTTTGTAGATTAAACAAAACGTTCAGTTTGAAATTCCTTGATGTTTAACCAAATCAACAAATACCTGATGAAGGATTTAAAATGTTGGGATTATAATAACAAAGATGAAGAATTTAGTCAAAAGAAGAAAAAAAAATTAATGTCTCAAACTTACAGATCTGCCTCCCATATAATCCTGAGGGTTTTTGCCATAGTTGAAGTATTTTAAGGTTGGATATCCCTTCACATCATTTGCATTGCAGACAGGTGTGTGCTTCGTACAATCAATAGCACAATAAGCAACCTGTAAAATAAAAAATATTTTCTTTTAAAAAGAAAAAATCTAACAAGAAAAGAAAAAAGAAATATATTATATAATAAATAAATAAAAAGAAAGAACAGTAAGATATATAATCCGGTGTTCTTATAGATATTTTTATTTTTACAAAATAGTGCTCAATGTAAATTTACAGAGCATTAATATTATAATATGGTTTTTTTTCGCTACACAGTTCTAACCATGTTTCAAAAATGGAAGCTAAAAGCTTCGAATTTAATTTTGTAATTAAATTAAAGACATTAGTTTCATTTCATCCTCAAGTGAATTTTGGAGTAACCTATTTATATTTACTAAGTTACTCCTAAAATTTATAAATAAGTTACTCCAAAATTCGCTTGAGGATGGAATGGAACTAATGTCTTTAATTTAATTACAAAATTAAATTTGAAGCTTTTAGATTCCATTTTTGAAACATGGTTAGAACTGTGTAGCAAAAAAAAAAAAAAAAAAAAAAATATTTTAAATCAATTAATTTATAAAATATATATATATTATATATAACTTAAAGAAAAACAGACCATTTTAAGGCTCCATTTGAAATAATTTATTTCACCAGAGAATTTCATTTTTCTCTGGATCTTCAGACTTCACTTTAAAAAGGTGAAACAAAAAATGAATTTAAAATTTACACTTTTGATGGGCAGTATTAAGCTTATATAAGTTGACATAGAAGGTGGTGGGGAATAGTATGAGAGACATGGTTGAGTTTAGAGAGAGAAGAGGGAGTTTTAAAATTTATTTTTATATTTCGTTTTATTATTGAGGAAGGAGGGGGTAAGGATCAAACATTGACCTATTTAATCGGTCAACTCAACGGAAATGATATGGAGAAAAGGAAAAGGAGAGAAAAAAGGGGAAAAGGAGAAGACAAGCTTGCTCATCATTACACCTCAGCAAAATGCCCCAAAATGATTTTCTAAGAATAGCTTAGATGTGGCACAAGGTCAAAAATATGGAGCACCCAGTGAGGATCAAAACTCACTACTCAGTCATAATTAATCTAGCAAGACAAGCTTGCTGTTACACCATGTCACAGTGCCCAAAATGATTTTCTAAGCATAGGTTAGATATGGTACAAGGTCAAAAATATGGAGCACCCAGTGAGGATTAAACTCACTACTCAGTTGTAATTGATCTAGCAAGACAAGCTTGCTAAACATTACACCATATCGAAGTACCTTAATTATTTTCTAAGCATAACTTAGTTTTGACACAAGGCTGAAAGTGTGGGGGTACCTGGTGAGGATCATATTCGTCAATGTCATAACAATCAATGTCCAGAGTCAATCATTCCTGCTCTTCTTTTCCCCACAAGTCCTCTAATATTTGAATGACCCCACAGTAAAAAATTTTTACATGCAATTTGGAGGTATTTACAAAGTTTTGAATAAAAAGTTGCCAACTGGATAAATCATTAGCTTCACCACTAATTAATTGTTAGACTATTTCATTCAAATTAAAATGGCTTTACCTTTGTATCTTCTTTGAACTGCGAGGCAGCAGTCTGGAATTCTGGCTTTGCTTTCTTGCAATGGCCACACCCTATTCAAATAAACAAAATAAATGCCAAGTTTTATCATGAGAAATTTTAAGATGATTTGCCAGCTGCATTCAATCATTTATCATTGCCACAATCTATATACCAAAATTTAAATAAAATGTTACATGTTAATGCAATGCAGTATTTATCATTTACCTTTTCATGAGGAAATAAATATGAAAACAATTTTTTTATTCATAAATCTGTTTACTAAATTATTAAAATATGTGAACCAACTTTAAGGAAATCCTTATTATTTACCATTTTATAAAGTTTGAATCAATTGGCAATTAGCCAATGTTTTGCCAACCATTCCAATAAACATTAGAATAAATAGTTTATTTTGTTGTAAATTCTCAAAAAAAAAAAAAAAAAAAAAAAATGTAAATTGACTTTCATCATATGCTTAGGTTTTATTAAAATTCTAATCATTGCTCTTTAAAACATTGTCAAAAGTGAATATAGTTAAAATAATAGTGTCAAGGGAAAAACTGTTCTTTGACATTTTGTTTTGTGGACACAAAGTTCCAAATTTGCCCATAATTATTCAATGGTGAATTTTTTTTATATTATATAAGCTAAATAGATTTGCAACATTATTTTAAAATGTCCATTTGTTAAACGTATGGAGAAAGTACTTAATAGATTAGAGTGTTTTTTGAGATAAAATAAAATGACAGGAAATGATTCAAACTTACATGGCGCGTAAAACATGACGAGTGTATGCTTCTTTTTCCTGAGAAATGTTTTGAATGTGTCAGTTGTAAGATGGACAACATCACTTTCGACTTCTTCCCAATTAGGCTCGGGTGGAGGAGGTGGTGGGGGCTCTTTAGGACTGAAAACAGAAAAAAACGTTTTAGTTTCAGAAAAAAATTACAGGAAATGATTATTTTTCTAGTCAAGATTAATCATTCTTCTCGTTCATTACTTTAAGGTAGAATTTGTTTCTTAACCATCACCCCTAAATAATTGTGAATTCTAACTACTCTCTGACCATCATTAAGTGCTTGTTAATCTAGGGCAGTGGTTCCCAAACAGTGAGACACGCCTCATAGGTGTGGCGGAAGAGGATGGCTGGTGAGGCGGAAGGATTGAAAGACAATCAAAGATTTAAAAACAGTTTCAAAAAATTCATATGCCAAAAACAAAAGATTTCAAAATTTAAAATATTATTATGGATTACTTGTAATTTCATGCATGAGTCCAAGTATAAATAGTTATAAATAATTATTGACTGATTTTATCACTGTGATATTTTTCCATTATATCACGTATTAAGAATATAGTAACCAGGGTCTGCAAATTGGAGGAGAGAGTTATCAATAATAATGTTCTGACTTCAAATCCACAGTTATCTCCTTTTAAACCTCACTGTTTTTTTTTATTTTTTAATTTGTACTTTTTACCACATAAAATTGCTGAGGTGTGAGAAAATTTTCATTCTGAAAATGCTACTCAGAGAAAAAAAATGTTTGAGAATCATTAGAGAATATCAAACTGAACACTTTATTTGATGTACAGGTGCAAATAGTTCTCATTCTGCTGTACATGCCTAGGGATATCTTGTCTAGTCCTTATTTAGTACAGCTCAGTTATTGAATGCCCTATTTTCACTAAGTCTAAATGTGCATGACCTGGCCTAGGATGTGGACACACAATTACAATGTAACCAAATTCATGAACCAACACTAGGTTGCTTGGCTGGCTGATTGTTTGGCAGCATATCATCACCTATATGGATTATTTATTGCTGAAATCTAAATATGTTGATTGCTTTGGTTGATTGTTTAGTGGCATATCAACACCTCTATGGATTATTTAATGCCAAAATCTAAATATTTTTGTACACAATTTTATTTTATTTTTGGAGTTGATAATAACTTAATGACACAAGTTTTAGTAATTATAGGTGGAGTGAGAAGTAGATTCATACCGTTCCCCAAAGGTATTTGTGCTGAAGTGAATATAATGAACCCAACTGGAATTGGAACTCGGGCCAAAATCTAAATATTTAGATTTGTTTGGTTGGTTGTCTTTGTTTAGTGGCATATCAACACCTTTATGGGTTATTTAATGCCAAAATCTAAATATTTAGATTTGTTTGGTTGGTTGTCTTTGTTTAGCAGCATATCAACACCTCTATGGGTTATTTAATGCTGAAATCTATATATTTTGATTGGTGTGGTCAACTGTCTTTGTTTAGCAGCATATGAACACCTTTATGGGTTACTTAATGCCAAAATATAAATATTTGTGATTTGATTGGTTTGGTCTGGTTGTTTTTCTTTAGTTTCATATCAACATCTATGGATTATTTAATGCCAAAATCTAAATATTTGTGATTTGATTGGTTTGGTCTGGTTGTTTTTCTTTAGTTTCATATCAACACCTCTATGGATTATTTAATGCCAAAATCTAAATATTTTGTACACAATTTTATTTTATTTTTTGGAGTCCAATATAATAATAACAACTTAATGACACAAGTTTTAGTAATTATAGGTGGAGTGAGAAGTAGATTCATACCGTTCCCCAAAGGTATTTGTGCTGAAGTGAATATAATGAACCCAACTGGAATTGGAACTCGGGCCTCTGGTCAACAATTCTGAGCTATTACACCACCTGCACATCCAAGTCTACAGTGCTTGGTATTCTGAAGCGGTCACTCATTTACGATACTGACCAGGTTAAGTTAACTTCGGTGATTGTACACGAACTAGTGTTTCTAAATAGTTTAACTAAATGCAAACCAACAATAGACTACTGACCTGTGGACCTGCAAATACCTGATGAAAGCCAGATGGCACAATGGTGGAAATATTGTGATAACAAACATTGAGGACAACTGTTCAGGTGTTAATAATGATAAATCCGCCATTCATAAATTCCAACAGGTAAACTGGTAAAGTTTATAAATTCTGTCTGAAAATGGTTTACAATATCAAATTTGGAATTTTCATTTGAAGAGAAAACAAAAAAAAAAAAAAAAAAAAAAGAAAAAGAGAAAAGAGAGAGAAAGAGAGAGAGAGAAAATAAGAGAGAGAAAGAGAGAGAAAAGAGAGAAAAAAAGAGAAAGAGAGAGAGAAAGAAGAGAGAAGAGAGAGTGGAGAGAGAGAGAAAAGAGAGAGAGAGAGAAAGACAGAGAAAGAGAAATTAAAAGGAGAGAGAAAGAGAGAGAGAGAGAAAGAGAAATAGGAGAAAAAGAGAGATTCAAAAAGAGAGAACTTTTGATAAGAATAATGAGAAAGTGTTGTTTTCATCCAGAAAGAAAGAAAAGAGAAAAAGGAGAAAGATTTTGGAAAAAGAGAAAGAAAAACCAACAAGAAAGTAAAAAAAAGAAAAAAAGAAAGAAAGAGAGAAAAAAGAAAGAGAAAGAGAAAGAAAGAGAGAGAAAAGAAAAGAGAAAAAAAGAAAGAAAAAGAAAAAAAGAAAGAAAGAGAGAAAGAGAAAGAAAGAAAAAGAAAACAGACAGAAAGAGATTGAGAAAGAGATAAGGAGAGAGAGAGAAAGAAAGAGAAAGAGTTTTGTTAAAGAGAATATCAACCTCAATGGGTCATTTTGTTATAAAAGAATATGAGAATTTTTTTTCCTGGTAATAATTTTTTTTGTCAAAAATCTATTTCTGGTAATATTTTTTCCCTCAAAATTGTATAGCTGGCAATAAAGAAAAAAAACTTATTGCTGGTAATAGTTTTTTCAAAAATTTATTTCTAGTAATAATTTTTTTTTTACAAAGTATTTCTGGTATTAAAACCTATTTTTAAACTTTCATAATGCTTTTTTACTTCAGTTTTGGAGTTAACTATTTGCCCAAAGCTGGGAATTAACAGGTGCTACCACTCTGGTCAGGGTGGACCCAAGAAACCCCAGCAATTAAGAGGTGGTTCCGCTCCTCAAAACCTCCTGATCAGAGGCATTGCTAAAGGACATAGTTTATAAATCTTAATTCAATATAAAGATATATTTTATCGTCATACCCATGACGGTCATAAGGATGGTTTTTCCCTTGATACTGCTATTATTTTAACTACCTTCACTCCTCAGAAAATGTTTATTGTTTTAAAAAGTGATGATTAGAATTGTAATAAAACCTAAACACACAATGAACTGCCATCTACTTTCAATGAGGTTGCCCATCTCCGTCAATCAAAAAGGCAATACTTAGTGTGATGGCCGGCACAAATCAGAGAACATCTGCTTGCAAAAAATATGGTAACGGCAGTGAGCTGAGCAATGCCTAGAACTTGTTTATGCAAATGATTTGTGTCTTGCATAGCGAAATTACTGATGTTTCTAGGCTCAATATAAAAAAACGGATTTGTTTCGGCAGTCAATGAGTCTCCAGTATCACTATAGTACAGAACATAATGATTCTGAATTCCTTTTTGTTCGTCCTCACTTTCTGCGTCCCAGTTATTCTTTGACCTTCACTTGCACCAGTCCTGTGTAGAATTCTTCATCGCCTCTGCCGTAGGCGAGTGTTTTGTTTTTTTTTCTCAAGTGCTGCTGTTCATTCCATCCCTCTCCCATTTGTTCTAGCAGCAGAAAAACAACTTTCACAAGTCTTGGTGTGTTTTCACATTTAGGTGGTGCTGGTAGCCAAAGAGCAACCAATAGGGAAGAAGTAAACTGAGATTCTCTGTCAGGACCCACCTTGCTTTGTGCAAGATTAACCCTGATCTTTCTTCAATGAAAAAAATAAGGTTATGATGATGTAAGTCTAAAATAAATAGCCTAATGATGAAAAAAAAGAAAAACAAAAAAGAAAGAAAAAAAAGCATATTTTACATAAATATTTTCCTACATAATCTTCTTCCTTGTCAAGGCACTTAACACTTTCTCATTATCCCTGTTAAATGATTGGGTGCCTGACCAATGCAGAAATGTTTTCCTTAATATTTAGAAAGAAGCAAATCAAATTTTCATGATAATGTCAAGTAGATTCCTCAATAGATCTTTACCATGACTATTAGCGATGAGGAAGTTTTAATAATGAGGAAAGAAGGCCTAGAGAATTCAACACCCGCAGGATATACAAAAAGCAAAAGAATTCAGGGAAACATCAAGTACCTTACTTTTCTTGTATTTCTTAATCATTTCACCCCAAGAAAGACAATAATGCCACTAAGGTGCAAGGGGTTACCGTGTATTACAGAATATGAGAGGGAAATAAAAAGTAAAATAAAAAAAAAACATTATTAAGGAGAGAGGACAATAAAAGAACAGGAATTAAGACAGAAGATGATTGACATGACATTTAGATTTTTGAAGAACAAAGTTGACTGGGAAGCAAGAACACAGAAAAGTTTCACAAGTAAAAAGTGCGATAAAAGAAACTGTTATCATAGAACTTAGTTACATCTAGCCATTTCAGCTGTAAAATGAGGAGACCTATCAGCCAATCTAGTACTGCAGTTAAATTCATAAAGTCTAGGTACCAAAGAAGAAAGTTCATCCGAACAATTACCATGAAAGTATTTATTTAAAAGGCACAAGGAAGCTACATTACAATGGTGGGTAAGTGACTGAAACTGAGATGCCAGGTCATGGCCAATAATATTGCAAATTCTTCTTTGGATTTTAACAAGACAAGTTTGTGTTAATAGGTGATAGAAAGAACAGAGATGAAGAGGGATGATCACAGTTCAAAAGTTTGAGCAACTAAAGACAGGATGTTGTGGAGAGCCATGGTCTCCCATGTCCTGAAAGGTCATGACAGATAAAAGAATAAAGATATGTAAAATTTTCTTTTAAAATCTCAGTCATTTTTTGTCATCATTTTGAAAATATTAACAAAATCAATGAAGTAAAATTCTGAAACACTTTGAAAAAAAAAAAAAAAAAAAAAAAAAGTCTAAGTTGAAGAAAATACTCACTCTTTCATGAAAGAAATTATCTGTTCTTTTTTTCTTTCATTATAATCCCACAAGAATTCACCATCTCTGTAAATAAAAATGGACAATATATAAAACTAAGGACTGGTCTGAAATTTCTAATCATTCACTGGTTTTTCTTTAATATATATAATATTGCTCTGTATTTTGATATATTAAGCTCTCTACATGGATCTATCTTTTGAATATTTTATATTAAAAAGACCTATCTGGATTATCCTTACCATTTGAGATATATATATATATATATATATATATATATATATGGGTAAAATGAAAACAAATGGAGTATGATTCCACTATACGTAACAGACAGCTCAGTACATGGTAGAGATAAATATAAATGAAACATAATTGTAATTTTGTAATAATTTTTTATAACATGATTTAATATCCTAAAATAAATTATATATATATATATATATATATATATATATATGTGTGTGTGTGTGAATGTGAAAATATATATATATATATATATATATATATATATAATTATTTATATATTATAAAAACAGTACTTATTACTTATATACAGTTTGTTTGAAAAAACGATAAGCTAAAGCGTTTTTAGGGTCCAACTAAAAATATATATATATATATATATAAAATATATATATATATATATATTTTTTTTTAAAAAAGAACAATGACTTATATTTCAGAGTTCTTAGCATTTATTTTATTTTTAAAATACAGTGCTCAATACAACAGTAGAGCATAATGTTATAACAGTTTTTTTTTTTTATATATATTTTTAAAAATAATTTTTTATATAAAATATATATATATATATATATATATATATATATATATATATATATATATATACATACACACACACACACAACTCTCCCATTGAATTTGACATATGAGGGTCAAGCAGATCAGTTCCTAGGAAACCAACAGCCCAACAACAGCACATGAGATTTGATTATAGTGATGAAGGTTTCATGCTGGACCATCCACACTTTTTGAAGGGCCGATTACAGAGACCTGGTGCACTACATGCCACAAGGTCCCCAAACGACCCTCTGCAGGTTTTGAATTCAGAGTTGTCCTTCTCCTAGATAAGTTGCCATCCAAGGCTATAGAACCCAGTCTGTCCTGCTATTTAGCCATAACTGGGGGGAGAAGAAGAGGATTCATAATTTTCCTAAGGGTATTAGCACATAAGTGAATGTAATGGATTGGACTGGAATTTGAACTCAGCTTTGATTCCTCAATCCAAGCCGCTATCCATTACTCCACCATGCCTCCTTATATATATATATATATATATATATATAATTTTAAGACTTTTTTTATGTTTAACATTCTTTTTGTAGATACAAATATTTAAGTAAATGCTCTGTTTATAATAAACAATATTAAACAACATTTACCAGCCTGAATGTCCGAGAAATTTTCACAGAAGATATTTGCCCTCCGACAGGATTTGAACCTGTATCCTATATGAATATTTTCTGTAAAAATTTCTCGGACATTCAGGCCAGTAAATGTTGTTTAATACTGTTTATTATAAACAGAGCATTTACTTAAATATTTGTATCTATAAAAAGAATGTTAAATATAAAAATGTCTTAAAATAATAGTCGGACTTTTCATAATATATATATATATATATATAAATTTTCTCACAATAATTCTGAAGATGAGTCAATTTGAATAAAAAAGAAAACAATTGGAAGTTAATTCTGATTTTATCAAGGCAAGTTTAAAAGTTTTTCCTTTTCAATATTTTTAATTTAATGTAACTACAAAACATTTCACTTTTAAACATGCCATGATAAAGTTGGATTGCCGAAAACGCTTTGGCAATGACTAAGAAATATATAAATGAATATGCAGCATCACACATTGAGTGATGGTATTAATAAAATAGGGCCCATGAATGCTGATTGAGGAGTTAAATGCACATGAAATTTGCTTATTTAATAAAAATCAAACACAAAAATAAAAATACCAGAAAAATTCTTCCATATTTCATTCTCTGATGCAGCTTTAATAAAATCGAAACACATTAGATTTATAATTTTTCCTATCACACACACACATATATATATATATATATATATATGTGTGTGTGTGTCTGCAGCAACCTTTCTTCTGTACAGGGCCTCTCTTATAATTGTGTGTTTTAGGAAATTTGATTTACAACTAGTATACATACACAAAGAATAAATATACATTTGTTCCACACCATTTGATGCAACTGAAGAATTGTTTTCAAACAAAAAAATATTGATTAAAAAAATAAATTTAAAGATAATCAATTGTAATCAATTTATTTTTCTTATAAGCAAATGGACTGATTCACTATCTTAACAAGAGATTACAAATAATGACATATTCAACACTCAATTTTAATTTGTGCCTGACAATTGCTATGTATGAAACTCAAAGTTGCATTGAAAATTGAAGAACAAATGTAAATTTATTTTTTGGTTTTGTTTGGTTTAGTTTATGGCATATCAACCTCAATGTTGGATGTAGTTTATTGTTTTACCCAGGACAAGAAATATCAATCAGTAAGATGAAAGTGATGGAGGACTGGATAATAATTAAAGCTATCACTCAAAAATCTTTCAAGGGTGATTAGATTTTTGAAGAAGAAAAAGTCACAAGGAGCAAGATCTGGTTGTCGGACCTGGGGAATGTCGCACTGTTGCATAAGCCATGGTCACTGAGGAAACTTCTGATATGGTGAGGCCACCACACTGCTATACAGTAGCGACCAAGAAAATTATAACAGTGTTAGTTTGGTTTACAGTATATCAACCTCAATGGACTATTTAATGCCAACAAGACTTTCATTGCCGATAATATCCTTTTTTCAAAAATGCATTGCTAGCAATATTTTCTTTCAAAAATGTATTGCTGGTAATATTTTTTTCTTCACAAACTCATTGCTGGTAATAAACTTTTGCAAAAATGTATTGCTGGTATTAAAACTTATTTAACACTTTCATTCTGACCCCTTGTTTTTGGAGGGGAGTAACTATTTGCCCATAGCTGGCACCCTAACAGGTGCTACCACCCTGGGTCACAGTGGCCTTGGGAAAAGCAGCAATTAAGGAGGTGGTTCCATGCTCCTTAAATCCTGATCAGAGGCCTTGCTGTTGGATGTAGTTTACCATCATACCCAGGACAAAATTTATTCTAAATATAAATTCTAGCTTCTAAAAAACACAAAAACAGTTGAAGTAACTTTTTTTTTTTTTTAACAATAATGAATTTATAAAGGTTGTTAATAAATGAGGTCATTCTCATATTATATAATTTGAAGATCAATGACTTACTTGAAATATTTAACGGTAGGATAACCACTAACTTTGAACCGTTCACCTAATTTAACTTCTTTTGTAGCATCAACAGCAGCCAAGTATCCGTCTATCTGTAAATAAAAGGAGAGAAAAGGTTGAAGGAGGAATTGTAAGAAAAATTATGAAGATGTGGGGGTCATGTTGTGATTATCAGTGGATTAGAAGTGGACTTCCCACCTCTTTATTGCTCATTTTTGCATAAATGCCCCTGAGAGAGGCATGACGCCAACTCTATGGGTTAAATAGCTGTATAGACTGGGTTCTTGAATCTTGAATGATATATGGTCTAGAACAAAGTTTCTCAACCCACGAACAATTATTTTATTTCATGAGTGACTTTCGCTGGATTTCACAATTTTGATTATTCCCAAATTTATTTCCAAGTTATGAAAATTATCATCTAAAAAAAATTTGTTGCAAAAAAAAAAAAAAAAAAAAAAGTAAAAAAATTACCGAAAACAATCGAAAATTTAGAACCTACAAAATATTGAGTATTTTGTAATTAATAATTATTATTTAAAATAAAATATTAAATTTATTATTAAGTTAAATACTAAATTAATCTAAGCCATTTTAACAAATATTTATTAATTGTAATTTTTTCATCTGATCGATGCAAAATGGCTGGTTTTAGTTTCCAATTTTCTTTTAAATTTAAAACTCAAATTTAAATTAAGGTATGTTTTCGCCAACTTGTCTTTCAATTTAGAAAAGCTAAATGTCCTGAACAAAGAGCTCCAAGGAAATGACTCCTGCAAGGAGGCAATTAGTGCATTTAACGGGAAACTAAAGCTGTTCTGATTGAACCTTGGAAAATGGGAGTTTCTGCAGTTTCCTTCCTTAGCAAATATATCCACCAAGCTGCATGATGATGACCTAGCAATGCATGTTGATCATTTGAAGCAGTTGCATAATAATATGAAAACTTGCTTCTTTGATCGACTCCAAATGATGGTGCCACACTGGTTTGTCGATCCCTTCATTGCTGATGCAAGAACTCAATTTGGCATGTGGGGCCATAAAGAATTCACACTGGATTGAAGAGGGCCACAATCAAAATAAGGTTGAGAAATATTTGTATAGAACAGGGGTAGGCAACCTTTTACTATGTGCCAACAACATACATGTCTTTGTATAAGTGTGTGCCAACAACATACATATACCTATTCTACAATATATTTTATAGATTATATATATATATATATATATATATATATATATATATATATATATATATATATATATATATATATTCCTTATATATTCAAATTGAAACAACTAAATATCTTCTTTGCATTGTAGTAGTTATTTGTTCAGACTTTGTGATATCATTTGTGGCTGCATACCATTGGAAATTGCTTGACGTGCCATGTGTGGCACACATGCATAGATTACCGACCCCCTGGTCTAGAACTACACTGAATGAAAAACCATGGAGGAAGCAACTCATCCATTATCTTCCCAAAGTTGCCACACAATTCCCAGATGATTGAGAAAAGGAATGTGAGGAGATCCATAATTGCCTATGTTCTGAAGGAGTGTGGCATTAAAAAAAAAAAAAAAAAAAGCAATAGAAATTAACACAAAAAGAAAATTACTTAGTTGCTCAGAATAAACTTTATAGGCAAAGTGGGTTGAGGGTTTCTTTTTTGTAAGTTTTACACGTCAAGGGAAGTAACTCCTGCCATAAAAAAGATTGCTCTCCCTTAGATCAAGTATGGGAAGAACGAGTAACGTTGTCTTTATCAGAAAATAACACAAATTGTTTTATAACTTCAAAGCACAATAGTAATGCAAATATTAACAGTTTCCTTATAAAGAAACAAATCATACACTGACCGAGCAGCCAGTGCAACTGTCGGTTGAAATTTATATCCCTCAAAGAAATTTTACAAAAAAATACATTTCTAAAGTCCAGTAGCTGTTATTGCTCTTTACTCTATTGAGGGAAGGTGGGGGGGTTTCCTTCTTAACCTTTTATCTAAAGTAATGTAGAATCAGAATCTCAACATCTTGATTATGTCAATATTTCCTCTGAATTACATCCATTTTAGTAGTTGCTGCTGTTGAAAGTCCTCAAGTGATCTGTTATCTGGTAAAATTCTTTGTGATTCTGTAGTGCCAGTCCAAAATGCTCAAAGAATGATTTTCACTAAAATCCACAGGCCTCACTCACTCAAGGCCACTTTTAAAGTGGTTGTATACAGTTTAGATATTTCCAAATGCTTTTGGCACCAGACAATCAAAATCGACATCCATATTTTGTCTACCATCTGACCTTAAAGGTCAGCCTCAGAAGGTCTGAGCCAAAATACACTGCCACTAAAAAATACTCTGAAACACTCATTACCCAAACATAAAAAAATATAAGTTACAAATTTTATTTCAACTACATTATCTTTAACAGTGTTACAGAATGCTTAAATGATCTGTGCCCGTCTCTTCACATCTATGCTTATAGATGCTCAGAGCATAGTCTACGAAAAGATTAACTTTTCTTCCTTCTAGAATTGTTCCCCTTGCAACTCCATTTATTTTTGAGGGTGCAAAAACATGAACACCTACTGTTTTAAAATTGTTATAACTTTCTTTGTATTATGTGTATAGACTTTATTTTTTGTATACTAATAAAAGAATGAACGAGTAATATGATGTAATGCATTACGTTTTACATGCATGTTTTGACGTTAAAAACCAAAAAATTTAAACTCGACTTAAAAAATGCAAAATAAAAAACAAATACATTAAAAATACATAGATAATTCAATGTACTTGAACTTTTATTACTCCTTGTGGAGTTCTGGGGGTGCAATAAGAAGCAAAAATCACTAAGAGGACTTTCAATTCATCAAAAAAATTGATGTATTTCCTCATGTTTACATACAAGAAGACACTAGCATTCATTTGCTCTTTCTTACACCCAACGCTTATTTGTCTCATTGACAAATAAAGTTATTTCATCGATTATAAATAGACAAAATAATTCACCTTCAGAAAGGTTATCAGGTATATTGATGGTCACCAATAGCTTCCATAAAATTAGTCAGGCATGGATGATAGTAGCTGCTAGTGGTCACCATTGCTTTCCTCCACATCACTAGCATGGTTATATTCTTCGGCCACTTCACCGTCAGTATCCACTTCAGTAAAGCCTTCAAAATTATCATTGGAGTTCTAATCAAAGAAAAACTCCTGAATAAAGGCTTTGTTGGATATTGACACTGCTATTCTTGTTTACAAAAAAAATAATCATGAAAAATTAATATGGGTTTAATCAAGTCTATAAAAATTCAAAATGGTGTTGGAAAACAGAAGTTTAGCCTTGTTTCAAAGCAGTACTAAGTAATTACTAGCTTAAAATACCACAAATAACAGTTGACAAGTGTTTATTTATAGCAACCATCTGAAGGCAAAAGAATGAGTCAAGAGTAGAAAAGAGAGAGAATTCTGCAGCAATTATTGTCGCCTGCTGTGTGGTAAAGGTTATACTGGAGCTCTAATTTCCTCCTTGTACTCCTGATGAGGTTTGAAATGATTCCATGCTGGGTTCCTCGCCAGACACATTGTGGTTAAAAAAACAATTGATGCTGATTATTATTGTAAATTATAATAATCCATCTGGATTTGCATGGATTAAAAAGAAAAAGAGTGGGAAAGAGATGGTGTAGCAGTTACCAATAAACAATTTTTTCTCCCATTTTAAACTAGGCCTTCAAACCATAATTTCCTTTTATTTTTTTTTTTAATCATTTCACCACCAAATAAGGCAATAAAGCCACTGACACAAAGGGTTACTGAGTGTAAAAGAATCTGAGAGAGAAAGAAAACAGATTATGAAGTAAAGAACAATAAAATAGGAATTAAACAGAAGATAATTTCCATGGCATTTAAATTTTTGAAGATCAAAGTTGACAAGCGAGCAAGAAGACAGAAAAGTTCCACAATCAAGAAGTGAAAGATAAATAATTAGCATAGAACTTATAGATACATCTAGTTATTTCAACTATAAAATGATGAGACCTACCAGCCATTCTAGTACTGCACTTAAATTCATAAAGTCACAGTACCCAAGAGGAAATGCTTATCAGAACAATTACTGCGAAAGTGTTTATAGAAAAGGCACAGGGAAGCTAGATTACAGCAGTGGGAAAGTGACTGAAGCAAGATGCCAGGTCAGCACCGATAACATTGCAGATTCTTTAGATTTTATCAGGAATTCCTAAATGAATGACAGAAGCACCAGACTAGATGTGGCAGCAATGACTATTATACCGTAGGTAACAGCAAAAGTGTCCAAATCATGTAACAGCAAAATTATCCAATTGTTGGAGTAAGCTTTGAACCATTGTATCTTAGAAATGATTAAAGATATTTTACTGGAATTCTCCGAGGTTTTTATAACACTATTGGACTCTACTTTGAGCAATGAGAATGTTTATTTACTCTCCAAGTTTAACAGAAGAATCCTGCTGAAATAGATTATAAATGAAAATGCCATGTTCATCATTAATTCATCATAGCTAAGGATCAGAAGCTCATGAAGGATTGAAATAAAGTTTATATATTATTCCAGGATCATTTTCTGACTGATTCAAGATGATCCTCACCCTCTCTAACCTTCTTTCTGTTCTGGAGTAACAATTTGCCTCACACCTTTCACATACGATTTCATTTTCAAGTTTTTTCACTGTTCTTTGGACTGTCATAGCTGAAACTTCTCTCCCACATGCCAAACGTCTTATAAATTGAGTTGGATCTTTTCTAATTGATCTCTTTAGATCTAAATTGAAATGATGATCCCTCTTCCTGTTGTGACCTCCTGATCCATTTTTCCTCTCTACTGTTCCCTCTTTTTTTAAACTTATTCACCGTTCTCTTGATGGTTCTTGAATGGACTTTGAAGATGGAAGCCAGAGTATGAATGTTGGTACCATTACTGAAGGCCTGAATAATCTTTTTCCTCTCACCATTGCTCAGTGGGGAAGACAGTGGGTCTGACACAAAACGATTTTAACCTGTTCTCTTTTTAGCTGAATAACTCAAAAGAGTTTTTCAGTGATTCTTATGAAAAATGGTGTCAAGATGGCTAAACGTCTTATCTGAAAACCTGGAAAAAAAGAAACTCAATTAGTTTAGTTGGTTTTTTTAGATATTAAACATTTTGTGGGATGGACAATTTTGCTGTTACATGACTGGGACAATTTTGCTGTTACACCATATATATATATATATATATATATTATATATATATATATATATATATTCAAAATATTATTTATATATTTTCTTTATTAAGTGTTCTAATGTGCTGTTCAATAAACGTAATACAGTTTGAAATAAAAAAAAAAACAAAAAAAAAAAACAAAAAAAAAACAAAAAATTACAGGTGTTCATTTCAAATGGGGAATATATATAATAAAAAAAACATTTAAAATTTATAAAAATCATTCATTATATTATATATTATATATATATATAGTTCTAAAAAAAAATTTTTTTTTAGTTTTTATGGCCTCAATTTTGCATATAAATACATTTTATATATTAATAAAAAAAAAAAAAAAATTTTTGAATTCTGAGTTTTCTAATGCAGCTGCAAAATATGTAAATTCAGGTTTCATTTTTTTACAATGTCCACACCCTGAGGGAAAAAAAAAAATGTTTAATTTAAAAAAAATAAAATAAAATGACAAATTAATTCTTGGTTCTATTCTTGGCACCAAAAAATGGAAAAAAAATAATAAACAAGATGAAATTATCTGCATGGGAAGGACGATAAATTTTAAAACAAAAATAATTATTTTTTATGAAATAATCCCAAAAATTTTTCATCATAATGAAAAGGTGATATTTTTTTCATTTCCATGACAACAATTTTTAGAAATAATTTTTAAAAACTTCGTCAAACACTGATTTGCATATTTTAAATATTTAAATAAAACACAAAACTTAGCATATTTTAGGAAAATTAAAAACATTAAAAGCATATTTTAATTGGAATCAAAACAAAATGAAATAATATTTTTTAATGTACTCTTGAAACATATATATAAAGTTTAATCAAAAAAAAAAAATATTTAATAAAAAATCAAAAATTTATGATTTAATTTATATATTAACAAATAAAATAGCAAAATTCATGTTTAGCCCAAATATTAAAATAAAATTAAAATTAAATTTAATTAAAACAAAATGAAAAATTTTTTTTTTTTTTTTTTTTTTTTTTTTTTTAATTATTTCATTTTCCTTCATTATTCAAAATTTCATATCATTTTTATGTTACCACCATAAAAATTTTCCTTATATTTTTGTTGTAATTATGGTTTATGGTGACATTCATCTAAAAATAAAATTATTAAATTTCCAATTGAAATTTTATCAACAGTTCCTTTTGAACATATTGATGTTGAGGTTATCCTGCCCTCATTACAAATAAAAGTGCCATACATATTCAATTTTATAATGCCATTGATCTTCAAATGTAGATCAAAAAAACCAATAGGTGATTCATTTAACACAGGCATTGGTTGGAAGAGGCATTCACCAATCAGGTCAGCAAAACCTTAGACTACATTAATCACAATAATTTTTCAGGTTTTTTTTTATATTTTAATTTTCACTTTATACAATATAAGACCCACTTTGTATTTCAATTTGAAAAAAAAATGGAAAATAAAAAAAAAAAAAATTTGAATTAAATCATCTTTTATAGTCAGAAAGGCACAAAATGCATGCTGGGATATTTGTCTTAGCTAATAAAATGGAAAGGCTTGCATAACTCAGGCAGTATTCAAATGAGAAAACCCAATTATAAATTTCTGCTGAAAGGCATCTGGGAGGTAAACAAGGTCAAAAAATATGTATCAATCCTTTTTTAAAAACAAAATTTTTTAAAGACTAAGCAAATGATTTTTTTCAGATTTTTTATTCACATAAAAAAAAAATATCAAAAAAAACAAAAAACATCCTGCAAATTTTTTAAATTATAAAAATAGCCTCAATTTTTAAGATTTGCCTTCTAAAATCATTACTGTGAAATTTTGAAAAGTTTATATTCCTTATTTAAAATGAAAATGAACAATAGTTTTTTTTTTTTTTTTTTTTTTAAATCATTTGCCTTCTTACTTCATTTTTGAATTATGTCAAAAATATATTGTTTGAAATTGCATGATTCTATATTTTAACAGACCCTTAAAATTTTTTATTTTCAAATTAGCAAACATTTTTTTATTGTAAATGTTTTTTTTTTTTTAATTTTATTTTGAGTTTGGATTTAACTCATCATCATTTTGTTGAAGGTGGTTGTTGTGTGAAAGTAAGAGTTTATATTGAATATGTATGAAAGATAACAGACTTGAAGAGGTTAAGATTCTAGAAGTTAGGAAATTTCCTCCATTTTTGTATTTTTTCCAAATATTTATCAAATGGAATTATTTTATAAAACAAAAATATACAATCTTTTTTTATTGTTCAATTGATATGTGGTGTGGCAGGTCTTAGCTGTGAGGGTGAGAACTGCAGGAACTAATGAATGTAGCTTGTCTGTGATGTATAGATATTTTTACTAGTTATTATAGTGGATAGTCATATTTTTATCATTAATTAAATAGGCTTATGTCCACATCACATTGAAACACTGTTTCCCCCGTATGATCAAAGTTAATGTCAAACTTGGTCAGTACCTAAATGGATGACCACTCAGGAATACCAGGTGCTCAAAAGCTTGAAGGTGCAATTAAAAAAAAATGTTAAAAATTTTAAAAAAAAAATATATTTCGACTTCCAATTTCCATATTTTTTGTTATATTCAAAAGTGCAAATATTTGTGGGAAGGAATGAATCACCTTTATAAATTAATTTTCATTTATGGGTTAATTAGTAAGTTTTTTATCATAAATCATTAAAAAACAAACAAGTAAATAAATAAACAAAAATTTCTTTACAATCTAAAAATAATTTCTGGCTATTAAATAAAGGATTGATAAAAAAAAAAAAAAATGAATATATCAAGGAATTAAACATTGTATTACATCAATCGGACTATTTATTTTTAATTGGTTATATATATTTTTATGGCAAATCAACCAAATGGTGTTCATTTTTAATGCCAAATAAAAAATATATATACATTTATAATATATATACACATCTATACATATAAAAAAATATACATACTTATATAAACATATAGCTGGCAACATTATTCTTAGGAAAAAAAAAAAATAGCTTGAAATATTGATTTTAAAAAATCTGAAAAAAATTTTCAGATCTCAGCAGGAATCAAAAAATTATGTATCCTTTTTATAAAAACCTCTTCTTGATACAGTTTTTCTTTTACCTCCTCAGCAAAACAAAGAAACATTACACTAAAAATGGCTAACAAATAATTTTTAAAAAAAATTGGATCTGCATCACTAAGATATTTCCAAAAAACCCACATCTGCCCTAGTTTTTTGTATCCAAAGCATAAAAAAACAGGATTTTTAATTTATTTAATTAAAAATTTATTTTTTTTAAATTTTCATTTTTTCAAATGATATTATATAATAAGTCATTTTCACTTAAAATTTTAATTTTTCCAAAAAATAAGAGAAATACAAAAATTAGAATGAGGGGGCATCTTTTGAAATAAAAATTTTCTTTAAATTTTAAATCATGTTTGAAAGGATATTACACTAAACCAAAAGCAAATTCCCAAAATTTTTTTTAAACAATTTAAAAAAAAATGAATTTTATTTTTAAGAATCATACCAAATTTTATTGAAAAAAAAAATTACATTTAAAATAAAAAAAATTTGAATGGGTTAATGAAAATTAAAGCAAAAGTTCCCAAATAGAAAAATAAAAATAAAAATTTCATACCATGATTAATATATGAATAAATATAATAAAAATTTATATTTAAAAAAATAATATTTATAAAAATTTAAAAATGAAAAAAAAAAAATTTTTAAATCAAAATTTTTAAAACGTTTTTTATTTTGCATTTTTTGATTGTTTTAAATTTAATTCTTTTTTGAAAATCTATCATATGAAAATATTGAAATTTTGCAGTTTTTAAAAAAAAAAATGATATGTGTTAAAATTCTCAAGTATTTATTATTTAAATAATAATGTCTGAAATATTTTTAAAAATTAATTGTTTTAAAATTTTAAATTTTAAATATTTCAGTATTACAAATATTTATATATTTAAACATTAAATATTTAAACATTAATTAATTAAATATTTCATTAATTTTAATAAAAAAAAAAAAAAAGTAATCAAAAAATTTAAATATTTTTTTGTTTTTAAATATTAAATTTTAACTTTAATTTATTTTAAATATTAAATAATTTCAGTATTTTTTAAAAAAAACTTTTTCATAATTAAATTAAATTTTAAAAATTTGAATTTATTTATAAATATGAAAATATTATAAATTTTATTAAATATTAAATATTTATCTATTTTTTTAAATTTTAAATAAAAGTATTTTATTAAAAATTAAAAAAAAATATTTTATTAAAAAAATTTTTTTAAAATTAAATTTAAAAAGAATAAATATTTAAAAAATAATAAATATTTTATTAATTAAATATTAAATAAATAAAATTTAATCAAATTTTTTTTTTAAAAATTAAATTTCAAATTTTTTTTAAAATTAAATATTTTGATGGAACTATTTACCAAAATCAAATTTAAAACAAAAATTTTATTTTAATTATACAAAATTTATTTAATGTTTTATTAAATATTTAAATATTTCAGCATATTTTATTAAATAAATATTAAATATTTCAGTATTTTATTAAATATTAAAATTTGTATTTTCCATTAAATTTTTATTAAATATTTAAATATTTTTCAGTATTTTATTAAATTTAAAATTTATATTTGATTAAATATTAAAAAAAGTATTTTTTTAAATATTAAATATTTAAATATTTAAATATTTTTATTAAATTATTTTTTAAATATTTCAGTATTTTATTAAATATTTAAATATTTCAGTATTTTATTTAAATATTAAACATAAATTTTTTAAATTTTAAATATTTCAATTTTATTAAATATTTAAATTAAATTTTTTAAATATTAAATATTTCAGTATAAATTAAATATTTAAATATTTCAGTATTTTTTTAAATATTTAAATATTTCAACAATTTTATTAAATATTTAAATTTATGTATTTAAAATATTTAAATATTTTCATTTTTTTTAAATATTTAAATATTTCAGTATTTTATTAAATATTTAAATATTTGAAGTATTTATTTAAATATTTAAATATTTCAGTATTTTATTAAATATTTAAATATTTCAGTATTTTATTAAATATTTAAATATTTCAGTATTTTATTAAATATTTAAATATTTCAGTATTTTATTAAATATTTAAATATTTCAGTATTTTATTAAATATTTTAAATTTTTTTTTTTTATTAAATATTAAATATTTCAGTATTTTTCACCATTATTCACCATTTACCTGCAGTAATTTGCGGGGGTGGGGAGATCATTTTATTACTTATTAATAGAAAACCAAATCCCCCACTTTATATTCAACCAGTTAAATCTTAAGTTAAAACTTTTGTTAAGTCTTTATTATTACCAGATTTTCACATTTAAGTCCCCAAATTATATATGACTAGAATGTTTTTTACAACACACCAATGCAGGTTGATATCTACACAGTATTTAGTATTGTTGAAGTTATTTGCTATCAATTTTGTTGAGATTTACATACTCTACATTTCGTTCAATTTAGCAAACCAATCAATGAAATTTGAATAAGCTGATTTGTTTGGAAAAATACTTTGATAAAAAACCTACTTTGCAGTTTAATAATTTCTTTAATTCCATAGGACTTCATGATAGGCAATATTTTTTAAGAAAATTTATTTTATTTCTTTTTAACAGCAAAGAATAAATTCTTAGGATTTCTTACTCTTAAGCATGCAACATACAACTGGCCATGCATAAATATTTCTTTCTGGAGCCAAATTCCAACTTTTTGAAGTGTTTGTCCTTGTGATTTGTTTATAGTTTTCATAAATGTAGGACAGACTAGAAACTGGATTCTTGTATATAAAAACTTAAAGAAAATATATGCAAAAAACAATATTGCATTTTTATAAATTAAGTATTTATTTTAATCACTGAATTATTTTTAAAATAGTGAGAGTATTTTATATTAAATAATATAACTTAATTTACCCCCAACAAAAAAAATTGGCACTTCTCTTCAAAATTTGGTTTTGATTGGTCAATGTATGGCTATTGTAGAGGGTGTGACAGACAGATGGAAGTCACAGAATTTTATATATAGTGTTGTGGAGTAGCTGAATACCCCCACAAGAATGCCTGTTCTAAGACTATTTAAACAGCACTCTCTCTTACTGAGGAAGAGGAGTTAACAATTAACTGTTTATTACATTAGTCTGTGTTCTCAACCGTGTACCATATTATTCTCCAGAATAACCTACTTTTTATTTTCTATATGCATGTCAACCTTTCCTATTTACGACAACAATTATATAAACAGAAAGTTTAAAGAGACGAATTCTCTGTAGATTTTACAAGTAAAGAAACATACATGGAGCATAGAACATAACCAAAACTGAAGAGTGTGTCTGCAGGAATTCATCGAAGGTGTCCTCTGTCAAATGCTCTACATCAGATTCTATATCAGACCAAGCAGATTCCTGTTCTTGTTCTTTCGGTGGGCCGGGACTGAAAAGATGAAAAAAATGATAAATTTGAAAGTTTTATTTTTTTAACCTCTTCATTTTTTTTTTTTTAATTGTAATGTTTTTTTTCTGCCTGAATCTTTGGAATGAGGAGTTATCATTATTTACTCTATATAGCCCCCTAAAAGTAAGGCTGGAGGAATATCAAAAAGCCATAGTGAGAGGTGATACAATGAAATCAGGTATGGCTGATCATGTATGAAAAGAAAGGAGTGGTCATCAGTCCCAGTGGAATGAACTGAAAATATTGAACAGGGAAGAACACTGGAGAGTTAGATGACTGAAAGAATCAACACATATGCTAGGCTAGTTTTTTTCCCCCATTTCAGTGAAAGTTCCCACATATTAAAACAACTTAAATTGGCAAAATGTAAGAAAATTGTCTCCAGGAAGATATTTAAAATGTAATCCGTTCTTTTCATATGTCAAATTGACTTATGGCAATATATAATTTTCCCAAACATTAAATCCATTTAAAACTTACAAAGTGTAAGAAAATTGCTCTTGGAAAGATACTTTAAATATGCTCAGTTCTTTTCATATGTTAAATTGATCGTCACCTGCTTGGAAACAAAATATGAATTTTTGTCATAATTTTCCTTGTATTTATCAGAAGATCATGATCTAGACCCCTATACCTATATTTTTGCAGGTACTGAATCCATTTTTGGCACTTAAATCTCCAAGAAAGAAATCTAAAAAGATTAAATGCAAAAGTTAAGCTCTTTTCAAGAATTTTTCATCTCTACTGCCAAGCAAGGTTTCCCCGAGCTAAACCCCTAGAAATATGAAACCTTCCTTTTAGCCGTCCTCATACATACAAATAAGATTCATGAGATTCAATAATTGAGCTGGAAATCATTCAAAGGTTTCAAAAACAAAAAGTATACAGTTGGCTGCAATGTGCAAGCCCTCTGGAGAGCAGGAAATGTACGTATCATAAAGATGTACAAGTACACCTACACCTGTGAAAATGTTAATCAAATGACAAATCAACTGATTAATTGATTTAAATTTTTTATGGTTTATCAACACTTAACAGTCTATTTAAAGTCTGAAAATATTTTCAGATTGTAACATTGGGGGGGAGGTGATAATAATAGTTTAGCAATACAAATCTTATTATTTAACCCATAGTTGGAGAGAGAGAGAGAAGTGTTCATACCTTTCCCAAGTGGACTTGTGCATAAGTGAATATAACAAACCCAACTGGAATTGGAACACAGCTCACCAATTAACAATTCCAAACCATTTATACTAGCTGCACATCCAAGCTTACAACACGTGGTATTCCCAAGCAGTCATCTATCAAGGTACTGACCAAACTCAATGTTGCTTAACTTCAGTGATCACATGTTAACTAATGTTTCAACATGATGTGTTTGTAAACCAAATGATAATCAAACACACTTGGTCATCCAACTTGTATGACATTTGTGTTCTTTTTTTTTTTTTAAGTCAATATAGTAAACTTTTTTGGCAATGATTCAATTATCTTTGCTTTTTTTAACACTTTCACTGCTTCCTTGTTGCCTGGCTGTACTGGCCTGTTCTGAGTAAAATAGAAAATTGCCATTTACTTAAATAACTATAACATTAATGTTGATTTCTCATGGACACTGCCATTTTGGTATCAGTTGAATACTTTGCAGTACAGACTAAGCTAAATGAAACCCCAATCCATAATATAACTATCATTCCTTAATACTGCCTTGTTATAGTGATTTTCTAAGCCTGGCTTAAATGTGGCACAAGGCCGAAAGTATGGGGTACCCAGTGAGGATTGAACTCACTACTCACTCATAATTGATCTAGCAAGACAAGCTTTCTAACCATTACACCATGTCAATGTGCCCTAATACTGCCTTGTTATAGCATTGTTGCCTGGCTGTACTGGCCCATTTTGGGCAAAATAGAAAATTGCCATTTACTAGAAATAAATGACTATAAAGAATATGGTGATGGTGATTTCTCAGAGACACCACCATTTTGGTTTCAGTTGGATACTTTGCAATAGAGACTAAAGGTAAATGCAACCCCCCACCACCCAATCTATAATATGCATTGTTGTCTGGCTGTACTGACCCATTTTGGGGAAAAAATGGGAAATTGCCATTTACTGGACATAAATAATTATAAAGATAATGACAGCAATTTGTCACGGTTTGCCGCTATTTTGGTTTCCATCTGATACTCTGCAGTACTGACTGAACTAAGTGCCCCCCACCACCACCACCAACATGCACACTATAATAAAAAATATGTTACAAAACAGTCTGTATTGTAGACTGTCTATACTGTCTGGAACTAGCAGTAAATGTCAGTTTATAACACAAACACCAGGGACAGACACTTCATGGCATTAGTTTTTATAAAACTTACATTAGCTTCTGTTGAAGCTAATGTAAGTTTTATAAAAACATAAGTATATCCACAATAGCAAAAACGTTAATCAAATGACAATCAAACTTACTCGGCCATCCATTTAATAATTCCTGCCTGTGTATTTTCTCCACCATATTGATAGAGCACTTTGCCATTTCTACAAAAAAAAAAAAAAAAAAAAAAAAAAAAAAAAGAATTTTGTACAGATAAATAAAATTAGGAAAATTAATGACAAAATAGAAGAAAATTTTTTGTCTTAAGACTACTAGCTAAAGTGATGTTTAAGTTCATATCACCACCCACACACACACAAACAAAAAGCAAAAAAAAGGGGGGGGAGGGATGCTGAAATTTTAACCTTTAAAATTTAGATTTTTTTCTTTTTTGACATTTCTTTTTGTTTATATTTAATCACTTTCGTTATTAAGCATTCCACATTTTCATCTGCCAAGAAAGGTGAAATGTTGTAAAAACCTGGAGGTAAATTTATTGTTGATGCTCAAGTGATTAAAGCACTTTCAATACACTTTTGTTTTAGTAAATTGCTTCCTCTTTTAATAGATTGGCAGCAAGGTCTCATTTTACAGTTCAAGTGGCTAGATGTAACTAAGTTCTATGCTAAGAATTTCTTCTATATATCTAAAGATTCTTGTTAAATCCAAAGTATCTACAATGTTATTGATCCAGACCTGGCATCTCAGTTTCAGTCACTTTCCCCACTGCCATGACATAGCACTCCTGTGCCTTTTCTATAAATATTTTCATGGTAATTCTTTCCTCTTTGGCATCTTGACTTCTGTTTCTTTTATCACACTTTGTGCTTGTGAAACTCTTCTGGATTCTTGCTTTCCTGTCTTCTTTGATGCTCAAAAATTTAAATGCAATGTCAATTGTTATCTTCTGTCTTCTTAATTCTTGTTCTTTTATTGTCCTCTCTCCTTAATAGTAGTTTTTCACATTCTCTAACACTCAGTAACTCCCTCACATCCTAGTGGCTTTATTGCCATTGCTCTTTAAAAATGTAAATGCAATGTCAATTGTTATCTTCTTTCTTCTTAATTTCTGTTCTTTTATTGTCCTCTCTCCTTAATAGTAGATTTTCTCATTCTCTGACACTCAGTATCCCCTTGCATCCTAGTGGCTTTATTGCCTTTGATCTTCAAAAATTTAAGTGCAACGTCAATCATTATCTTCTGTCTTCTTAATTCCTGTTCATTTATTGTTTTCTCTCCTTTTTTTCCTCATATTCTCTCACACTCTAGTAACCCCTTGCATCTTAGTGACTTTGTTGCCTTGCTTGGGGTGAAATGATTATAAAAAAAAAAAAAAAAAATAAAAATAAAGAAAGAAAGAGAGTAGCCTTTTTAAAAAATTGGAATAGTACAATGGTTATCCACTTTCTTTTTACCCATGGATAACTTTTACTCTTAATTTTGGGGGTACCCCTCCCCCATAACCATTCAATGAAAAATAAAAAATGCTTATTTTTTTTTACTAATAAGTTTAGGAATCCTATTACAGAAATAGTAAATGTATATCCTTTATTTTGAAGTAAAACTAATTTAATGAAAATAAACTTGTATTTAATAACCAAATATGTGGACCCCAGTAATGTTAAATGGACCCCCCAGTGTCCACATGGACCCCAGTTGAGAACCACTGTTCTAGTATATATAAATACATGTATCATTTTTCCCCCCACACAGATAATTATATAAATAAAGCAAAGGTGATAAAGCCATTATGACGCAAGTGGTTACCGAGAGTGAAAGAAACTGAGAAAATGTTATTAAGGAGAAAGGACAATAAAAGAACAGGACCAAAAAGACGGAAGAGTATACAGACTCCAGGGAAATGGTATCATGTGTCCTAGCAGGAAACAGAGTAGCAACAAGTTTTCAACTTTGCATCTGTGGGGAAAGTGGTTGTAGAATGGAAGTCATCCACCACAAGATCACATAAATGATTTGGGATTTTGATAGTTTTCAAACTGGAAAATGAAGATTGAGCAGCTCCAGTACAGATATGGCAGGTATATTCAATTTTAATCTAATTTAACAAGATAAAGCATGATAGGAGACGGGTGCTTCCAGGGGTGGGAAAATGAGCCAATCATTTTATCAGCAGATTGTATATAGGATTTGTGATTGGTTGTCTGATAACCATTAATTAGCAAGGTTTTCTCCAATGTTAATTTTACTTAGCATGATTGATTGCAGCCATCTTTTTATGTGCACGTTAAAATTTTTTTTAAATTCCTGTATAAAAGCAAACACTTGAATAAGAGTGATGTCCCTTTGATAACATTGTATAATAAAAATGATAACAATAGTAATGGAAAAAAAAAAAAAATGGAAAGGAATTTAAACTTTAACATGCACAAGTTGTATATTAACTTTATACTTACTCAAAATAATATGTCGTTGGAAAACCAGTGATGTTGTAACTAATACGTAACTGAAGAAATTGTGGTTGGTCAACATCTATACCAGCAAGAATCTGAAAGGGTGAGAAAATAAATTAGAAAAAAAAGAATTTAGAAAGAGTAAGAAAAAGCAATACATCAAGAATTACATTATAATTCTGCTCGTTGAGCCATTAATTAACAACTGTTTATAGTCTGACATTAACTCAGCTAAATAATGAACTACTGTTTTAATAGAAGACAAAAGATATCAGAGAGGTTGTCTGCTTTTGGAAAAAGGAGAGTTTGAAGAGAGACAGATGGCGGACAAGGAGAGATGACGGTCGGACGGACAAGGAGAGATGATGGACGGACGGACGGACAAGGAGAGATGACGGACAGACAAGGAGAGATGACAGACAAAATAATTAAAAAACATCTTAATAGATACTTACAGCTTTTCCTTTCAATTCTTTAGCTGCAGCAGCAAATTCTGGTTTAAACCTTTTACAAAACCCACACCCTAAAAATATAAAGGGATCAGAAGAAGAATATGCCTTACATGACAGTAAATTGCAATTAGAGTTTCCAACAATTTTATAGGATTGGAGAAGCATTTAAAGAATAAATTAAAATTTCATTAACTTTTTAATTAATACAATAATTGAAATTTAAAAGATTTTAGCTTATCTTAAATAATTTTGGGTAATTTGCTGTTTAAGCCCTCCACTCAGTTTCTATTAAAAATTTCCCAAATAGTTACATTTAGGTGTAAATTTACATGCTTAATTCGAAAATAAAAATGAAATTATGCTAAGATCTACCATTTTTGAGTTATCAATAATAAAAGTTTGGACTCATTCACGTTGGATGTGTCTGCTATTACTGACGTTTTTATGTTTGCCTCAAGTAGGCATTTGCAGAAGCTAACTTAGTTAACGACCTTTTTGCTGATTTTACTCATCTCAATGTGCAAAACCAAAGTCTTTAGACAACTTTGAAAGTGAAGTTTGTATTGATTTTTTTTTTTTTTTTTTGATAAATTTGTGTAAATTATTTAGAAAAGGAATGACAAGCATTGGTTTTTTTTATAGTAAAATCTTTTATAGTGAAGCTGTAATAATAATGAATTCTTGGTTAAATAATAAAAATAACAAAACAAATAATTAAATAAATAACAAAATAAATTGTAATACTAACCATGCTCTTTTTAAATTTTGTGTAAAGTTTGTGTATTGTATGCGCATTAATCAAGTGAAGCTTCCACGCATGACTATTTGTGGCAAACATATGTAAACAATGCCAGTAATGGCTGCCGTGCTGTAGTCACAATACAAATGAGTCTGAAATTTTATTGTCGATAACTCCAAAATTTCATTGTTATTTTCGAATTAAGAATGTAAATTTAAACCTAAATGTAACTATTTGGGAAATTTTTAATAAAAACTGAGCACATGGCTTAAACTTCAAATTACCCATAATTTCATGAAAAGATTTTGCTTAAATAAGTGATCTACTTTGAAGAAAGGAAATATCTAGAGAAGACATGTTAGTGATGACTTGCATGTTACTATTTAACCTTCAGCATTCTGCATTATTAATATTAATTCCCACTGCCTTCTTTTTCAAGGCCTCTCAATTGCATTACCCTTATTGTTAATTTCATTCAGAGTTGTTTTCCATTGCCATAGCAGGATATGACAACACAATTATGGAATTCAAACACTATTCTTCAGGGATCAGTCACATTCAATGGCAGGATAACTTTTTGTACAGCAAACGAAGTCACAGAGTGATACAGGTTAATAATATTTAGTTCTTTAGTTGCACGAGTTCAGACTTTTACAGCAAGGATACCATGCTATTTCCTCCATGTTACAAATGCAAAAACTGAGTTCCACTCAAATTGCTTTTTTTCCTTCAAGAACTGTCATTTTATGAATGGCTCCCACAAGGGAGATCCTTTGAACACTTCAATCTTGACCTCTTCCAGCCAATAGTTAATTGTCTTGTCCTGATAAACTTCACTTCCAACCAGGTTTACAGCAATATCATGTTGAAACACTGGTTCTCACAAGCTCACCAAAGTTAAGCAACATCAAGTTTAGTCAGTATCTAGATGGGTGACTGCTTGGGAATATCAGGAGCTGTAAGCATGGAAGTGCAGGTAGTTTAATGGATGATCGCTCAGAATTAGAGATCAGAGTTCCAATTCCAGTCAGGTTTGTTATATTCATTTACTCAAAATATTAGAATGCTTAAAATATTTTACAGTTTTAAGATTATTGGATAGTTTTATATATATATATATATATATATATTACATAATAGAGAAATCTAAAATTACCTCATGAGTAAAGACTACAACTAGCATCAATATGCTAGCATTTTTCAACTCAAACATACAATACTTTGAGCTCTTTTTGTGGATCAGTTTTAATATTTTATAATATTAGGATCCACTTGGATTATATACCAATAGATTTATGACCTGTACTATATATATATATATATATATATATATTATATTATATATTCACATTTGTCATTAATCATGTAATTCCCCAACTCAATCAGGTTGTCAATAAATCACTCAAAAAGATTTTTCTTGACACCACTATTATTTTAACTACCTTCACTCCTCAACAATGTTTATCATTTTAAAAAGCAATGATTAGAATTGTAATAAAACCTAAACATATGAAGAAATTGAATATTTTCTTTGTTCTTGAGAATTGACAACAAAAATATTAAACAATTTTAGATTGTTTATTGGAATGGTTGGCAAAACATCAGCTAATCGTCAATCAGGTCAAACTTTATAAAATGGTAAATAATAAGGATTTCCTTATATTTGGTTCACATAATTTAACAATTTAGTAAATATTTATAAATTTATGAGTAAAAAATTGTTTTCATATTTATTTCTTTATAAATTGGTAAATAATATTACATTAGTTCTAATTAGTTGTAAATATAAAATTATTCTTGTAAATAAACAATCTAATAAATAAATAGTATTTAATATTTTTGTTGTAAATTCTCAAGACCAAAAACAAATTTATAAATTCACTTTCATTATATGTTTAGGTTTTATTCCAATTCTAATCATCACTTTTTAAAACAAACATTGCTGAGAAGCAAAGATAGTTAAAACAATTGCAGTTTCAAGGGAAAAATCATCCTTTTGACCCTCCTTTGCTTACAAAGGTTCAAGTTTGCCTAATCTCTTTTATGCAAACATCTTGACTTGAGCAAGAAACTTTTACAAGCCATAGCGAAGAAACTGTCCATTATTGACTGTAATTATATGTATTATAATGGCTGACTGATTTTTTTCCAAGTATGTCCATCTGCTAGGGTAGCTATTGAAGACACCTGCTCAGACACATTTGTGTTTCTTCAAAACCCAGAGGCTTGAACTGCAACTGTGCTGAGCAGATATTAGTTAAGTTTCTGGGAGAGAATGCATAATCTGGTGTGATCAGCAGTTTTTGAATAAGGCAGGTACACTGAAGTCCTTGGTCATGATGTCTTGTGATATTTGTGTCAGCAAAATCAGCAGCAGCTCCCAAATAGTTCTGTCTACCCGCTAATTCACTCACAAGGTTTGGATCAACTCGTATAGTTTTTGAGTATTTATAGAAGCTTTGCCTTCCATCAGCATGGCTGATGCTAACCTCCAGGAAGAATGACTCTTTAAGCATTCTCATGCTAATGTTTTCTACTGATATATTGAATCAATTGCTAGGTGTGCTGCTATGGAAAGTTGGTTCACTTTGTTGTACTAAACAATTTTTATTGCCTGAATACATTTATAAGTCTACCATTCATCCATGCATTGAATATTGCTACCACATCTGGTCAAGTGCTTCTGCTATGTATTTAGAGATTCTTGATAAAATACAAACAAGAATCTGCAATGTTATAAGTCCTGACCTGGCATCTTGGCTTTAGCCACTTTCCCCCACCAGCATAACATAGCTTATGCTTTTTCTATAACTATTCTCATGGTAATTGTTCTAATGAGATTTCCTCTTTGGTACGTCAACTTTACGAATTTAAGTGCAGTACTAGAATGGCAGCTATGATTTCACTGTTGAAATCATTAGATGGAACCATAAGTTCTATGCTAACAGTTTCTTCCTTGACACTTCTCATTCGAGGAACTGTCTTCTGGCTTCTTGCTTTCCAGTCAACCATTATCTTCTGTCTCTTTAATTCTTTTTCTTATATTGGTCTGTCTACTTAATCATCTATTTTTTTCTTAGATTCTTTCACAGTAACCTCTTGTGTCTTAGAGGCTTGATCACTTATATATAAGTTTACCATTCCCCATGCATTATATATTGCTGCTATATCTGATCAGGTGTTTCTGCTATGTATTTAGAGATTCTTGAGAAAATCTACAAAAGAATCTGCAATGTTATCAGTCCTGACCTGGCATCTTGACTTCAGTTACTTTCTCACTGCTGTGCCTTTTCTATAAATACACAGTAATTGTTCTGATGAGCTTTATTTTCCCTTTAGTACCTCAACTTAATTTAAGCACTGTACAAGATTGGTGGCTAGATCTTATCATTTTACAGTTGAAATCGCTTGATGTAACATAAGTTCAAGGCTAACAGTTTCTTCTCTCACTTGTAGAACTCTTTTCTAGCCTTTTGCTTTCCAGTCAACTTTTATCTTCAAAAATTTAAATTCTATGTCAAACATCATCTTGTCTTAATTCCTGTTCTTTTATTGTTCTCTTTTTGCTTAATAATGTTTTATTTTTCTCATATTCATTCACTCAGTAACCCTTTGCGTCTTAGTGGTTTTATTGCCTTCCCAATGATGCTGCACACTGAGATCGTCTCACAGGACAATATTAACAAGAATTCACCATGTTTGACAAATTGACCCTGTTGAGAAATGCAAACATTCTATAGACATTTGCCAATGGTTTTGTGAAAAGGTTAGAAACATACAATAAAGCAATTCAGCCAAATGTCTACAGAATAAGACAAGTGAAAATAAAATTGACTTGAAAATGCAATCCAAAAAAGATGTTTGGATACAGTGGGTCAATGCTGAAGAGAGGATAAGCTATATTACCAATATGAGGCAAGTTAAAAAAAATAAATAATTAAAAAAAATTACTTTTTTAATTAATGGAATAAATTGAAAAATATAAAAAAAAAAGCAATAACATAAATAAAAAAAATTTAAAAAAATATTAAAAATGATTATAATTTTTTAATTAATGAAAAATAAAATAATTTTAGAAAAAATGCAATAACTACTCGACAATGAAGGCATTTGTTTGTATGTATGTTCAGCTTTTAAAACCACAATATATTAAAACTATATACATTTTGATTGAATATGTTCCAAAGAAGGTTTTGATGTCCAATTTATTTTCATACCTTTTATATAAGTTGAGATACTTGTAAAATAATTCATATTTAATAATCAGCACTAGAAAATGTAGCAAAAAATATTCCAGTGTTTCCAATTTAAACACAGCTTCATTCAATTATT